AAATTTAACTAGTAAACTTGGAACTTGCAAACAATTTAATTTCTTTCTGTGTGCCGTTGTGGCAGTTGCGCTTGCGCATTGTCTGACTTTGTGCCATCACTCAAAACGTCGCACGCTAATTGGACAGAGAAATTGCCGAGTGCAGAGCAGGGAAAAACACTTCAGATATAAAGGAAAAGTGCAGGGAAACGCTCCCAGAACTGCTGCGACCCCGACATGATTTAGTAGACAAGACATTAGCTTTGTATTTATCTTACGCGCAGATTCGGTTTCATTTAGTTCCTATTGGAATTTTCCTGAGCTAATTAAGGCTACTGTGGCCAGCCAGCCTGAACCTGAAGTGGAATTTGTTTTCGACTTCATTAAAAGTTGATTTAAATATCTTCCTAAACGCAACGTATTTTCTTCTAAGCTCATATATCTTTTCTCTTTCCCCTTTTTTATATATATAAATATATTTATTTTAATTAGTTTTTCTTGAGCTTTCTTCGTTTGTTTCGCGCTTTTTACTGTTTTTGAGTTCTGAGCGTTGCGCTCGAAACGCTGATGATCTTTAATTAAATTAGCCATTATTTTAATGGATCTGCATGAAGTTATTAACATGAAGGTGGGAGTGGAGATGTCTAGGAAAGTGCAGATTCTAATTTAAATGCAGAAGCTTAGGTTTAACATTGTTGTAGACTAACACCTATTACTAACTCACTGAAATCGTTATGAAGTTTAAGTAAAGTAAACATTAAACCAAGTTTAATCAAAGCCATATCCAAATCAATAACTCTTCTTCTCCTCAAAGCTATTGAGCTGGCTGTGTATGTCATGGTCATGCTCGGAGACTCTTGACAATAGTTGACTTTGTTTCTGTAGCTGACTTTTTTCTTAGTTGCTTGCTGGATTTTTATTTCGCTGCTGTTTTTGGCGCTGCCTTCGCTCTCTTTCCCTCTTACGGGCAGACAACAACACGAATGGAAAATTGTAAAATGTCGCCGTGGAAAAAGGGGGAGGAAGAGAAATGGGATAGTAGCGAGTGTAATGTCGATACGAATTCGGCGGGGTAAACAAGTTTACAACCAGCGCCAGACGCAAACAAAAACAGCGAAAGAAAGCCAGGAGTACACTGAAACAATTTTGATATATTTTGGTTTTCTATTGTAAAATATTCTTTAACCGATTAAGCTAAGAATCCTGTTTATAATCACTCCTTTCTTTATAACATTTCTTTTCTATTTAGAAATGGTTTAACCTTTAGTCTTAAGTGCATAGCAATTTCTTTAACTGCATTGCAACATAAGCAGCGACAACAAGATGACGCCAAGAAATGCAGATGAAGCTGACAGCAGCCAAACTACGACGATGTCGGTGCAATGTTCAATGCATATGGGTCGCTGCTCCATTTCCACATGGACGCCACTGCATCCCAGTATCCAGTATTCAGTATTCAGCATCCCGAGACCCCAGACCCCAAAACCATCCTCATCAATTGGGAAACATGCAAGAAAGCAGCAGCATGAGCAGGAGCAGGACGACGCCGATCTTTGGCTGCATAATTGCCAGTCTAAATCAATGGGGCGCAAGTTGTTGCCGCTGTTCATGTTGCTGTTGTTGCTGTTGTTGGCGTTGTTGGCGTTGCACCCATACATGACTCGGTCGGACTTCATTGTCAACGCCGTTTGCCATTGCCGTTTGCCGTCTCCATCGGCATCTCCACATCCACATTCACAACCATCTCCATCGCCATCGCCATCTCCATGTCCCATGTCCCAAGTCTTATGTCCATGTCCGTCGCGGTCGTCGTCAATATTTGCCATGATCTTATCGTCAAGCGGAGTCATGTCGCTGCCATGGCTCTACTGCCGTCTGCCTTGCTCACGTCTGCCATTACCCCCTCGCCACCCCCTTTTTGCCACACCCCTGACCAACAGCAGCAGTCACTTGGGTGCAATTATTTTTTTAGATACACTTACCAAAAGCGATCCTGGCCTTCAATGGATTAGGTCCAGCTTTAGGTACTATATTATGTTAGATAAAAATTACCCAATATGAACTTTTTTAGAAGTTCGATGATTTTTCCGGATAATGGTAGTTTTCTTTAGGTAAGCTGAGACTTTCAAAGTTTGATTACTTCCTATAACTATTTCCTTATAGTTAGGGTATACAATCTTTAATATATATTGATCTTTGACGATCTGCCTGAGTGTCTCCCCTTTGGGGTCTCCCGCTGCACATCATCTTTGGTGCTGAGTTATGGCAAAAGACCTTGGACTTAAGCACTAGCGTCGTCGATATTGCGTCCCGCTTCCCCAACCAAACGGTGCCATGTTGCACCCGCACTAGCAACCAAGATGACTCCGCCACCACCTGCCCCTGGCCAACAACCCCTTCTGCTCCTCCCGTGCCAATAGTGCAATTTGTCATTGCACCGTCAGCGACGACGCGTGCGCCAGCATGGAGACTCGAGTCACTAAGCTGCCGGCTCTTCCTCAGCCACTCTGCTTCAAGGCACTTGAAGAAAATGTGTCTTACATCTTAAACAGTCAAGAAACTCCAAACTAATAGAAATCTATCATGTAAAAGTGACATTTGGGGTTAACCTAAAGTCAGAAGCAAAATATCGTATTTAAAAAGAAGTTAAAACAATAAATCAAGTAGGTTATGATTAATAATATTGTGGATATATTTTCGCTTGATTACTTTTCGCTGAGTGCACACTCGAGCTCCTTGGCTGCCACAGAGCCTCGTCATCTATCGCTGGCTGCCATCTGCTTACAGTTAAAGCGACTGTCGGTCGCCGAGCTTCGAGCACCGGGCATCTCCTGCTGCGGCTGGGGCTGAGGCTGAGGAGCTGGCGCTCCTTTGCGACGACTTCTTTATGGCTCTTGATTTTTATGATTTTGCTGTTTAATGGTTCATTTGTGGGCCTCCACTGCGAGTGCGAGTATGTGTCTGGCTTCCAGTTTTCTTATCGCCGCGTCTATATCTCTCTTGGCTTTTCCAATGGGTGTCTTATTTTGTTTTTATATTTTGTATTTTTTTTTTTTTGTTATTTAGTTTGCCATCGTCGCCAGTTTGGGGCCATGTCTGCCAGCTTAATCTCTCTCCTTGGAGTGCTGTTCTTTTTTTTTCAATTTATTTATCTATTTATATTGGTAGCCTTTTTTTGGGGCCAACTTGTTAACCCGATCGCAAACCAAGTCTGAAGTTATATCCAATAAAGTGGAAAATTGTAAGTCCGTGTTGCATACTTTGAGGATAACAGAAGGGAAGGAGAAAAACGAAACTGGTTGTTAGGCCAAAAGATTTAATGGTAGCTCCCCTAAAAGCTGAAACCCAATGCCATGATTATGCTAATTAGCCGTTGTTGACACGCTCGCTGATCTCCGACTCCGACTCATGGATCTACAGATCTCCATCATCATTAGCCCACCTTTCGGTTTACCATTTACCAAGTCAGCGGCAAATCTCCAAGAGGCGACTTCCTACAGACTCGTTTCGATCATCGCCATCGTTTGCTTTGGCCATTTGTTTAACTGCCGCTGTGACACCTCCTCTGCGTTTGGCAATGAGGATGAGTATGGTTAAAGGGGGCTGGAGGACGCAGTTGGCCATGAAGCTGGCGGTGGAGATGGCTATGGCTATGGCGATGGCTATGGCTATGGCTATGGCTATGGCAATGGGTAATGGATAATGGCGCCGCCTCCATTCAAAAATCACTTTATGGCTGCTGCGAATGCAGCTGAGGTTGCGTTGTCCATAATTGGACGCAGTGCCAATCATTTTAACAGCTACACAAACACGCAAACCGCGGAACCGGCTACGTTTGCTCCTCTTCGTTTTCCCCAACTCAATTCACTCCTTCCTTTAACCATGCTGATAATGCAAATATGAGTTAAAGTTTGGTTAAGAATTTTGAATACCTTGTAGCTCACTCTGTAGGTCATTCTGTAAAAATTAAACTTCTCATTAATTAACATTTCTGGTTTAAATTTTTATAATATCTCATATAATGTATATTTAGGACACATACTTATAAGTGCTACTGTACTTTCGAGACCCACTGTAGACTAGAATAGCCCAAGTTAACTGTAAGCTTTGTACTGTTATCCCTTTCTACCTTTCTATGAATAAGCATAACAGATACATATATCCATCTCACTGACGAATGAGGATAAGACGAGGATAAGGAAAAAGAGGAATGGCGACATTCGGTTTTTGTCGTTGAGCGAAAGCCGTTATATTATAAAGGAGAGCATTTGCGTATTTAACCTGCAACATATACGCCCATATTTCCTGCATATACAGGGTATAATGAGTGGTAGCATGTAGAATGAGACAACTGCTGGCAGCCACTTCAAAGCCAAAGCGGTCTCCAGTTAGTTACAGGACCTGGAGAAAACCGCCGCCGCCCGTCCAGTTCGGTGCCAATCTACTACTCAGTCTTCTCTCTCTAACCCCCGCCAGATTCTGGTTTCGTCTCAATGACAATTGGCGCCATAGCCGCGGGGTGCGTTTGGGGCTTGGTGTCTGGCTTTCGAGGATCGCTCCTTGGGTAGTTGGGTTGTTTGTTTATAATTAGCCCACTCGCTCGCCTCCGACTGCAATTCAAATTGATGATGGCTACTGGTTTTGCCCGGCTTCCACTGCTATTTTTATGCTCAATCAATTTTCTAACAACCTTAAGGCTTCCACAGCAAACAACAATCTCCATTTAGTTCAGGTTTATTGCTATGAGGAAATTATTAACAAGCCACTTTAAATATTAAATCTATAGACAGGTGCATCACTAAATTAGCTAATTAAAAGGTTTTATATAACTGTTTATTTATATAACTGTCGATTTTATTTTTCAAAACTCTCCGCTATATAATTCTCTTTAACTGTCCGATATAAAATTATATTATTAAGATTTAAAATGTACCAATTGGCCTGTATTTTCTCTGCGTGTAACCCCTTTATGATCAATCAATTTTCTAACGACCCTTCCTCTTACTCCAATCTATTTGCAGGCGGAAATGCTCATGGATGACGGTCTTTTGAGTTCGGGATATGTTCTTGGATTGGCGGGACATCCTCATGGACTGGTGGGCGCCTTGGCCCCGCCACCGCCACCGCCTATGAAGCAGCCGCAGATGGACATTCCCAGTGGCAAGAAGCAGCTGCAGCAGCTCAAGGGGGCGTCGACGGCTGCCACATCCACGTTCGATTATCAATATCAGCTCATGTATGCGCACTGTGTGCAGAGGGAGCGGGAAAGGGAAAGGGAGCGAGAACACCTGCCGCACTCGCACCCAATGCCCCACCAGCATCGAGCAGTTCTGGTGGCCGCCGCACCCCATCCGCATGCACCGCATCTTCACCCACCACCTACGCTGAACTCCTCGTCGGCCTTCCGACCTTGGGGACCCAACACCACCAAGGCATTTCTGCACGCCTACCCGTTGTCTACGCTACCCTATGCCTGCCAGGAACCACCCGAGCTTCAGAATCCGGAGCGCGTAGTGCGAAGTACAGACAAAAGATACGCGGAGAGGACGTACCAACCGAATGTGGCCTTGGCACCCCGAAAGAGTATACTCTCCAAGGAGAGGGACAAGGACAGGGAGCGGCTGGAAAGGGAGTTGTTGGAACGTCAGAGATTAAGGGAGAAGGAGACGGATCACCAGGTGGTGCACATCAAGCAGGAGAGATCACAGACACCGACACCACCCACAGCATCGTCGCCCGAGGGTGTGGCAGCCCCTCTGGATGTCGTTGAACCGCCACACACCTCCTCGAGTGGCAGCAATTCACCACTACCCGCCCACCTGCCCGCAGCACTAGCAAGTGCGCCCCCAGTGCCGCCGGTGCACCGCCAACACCAACTAACCTTCGAAACATGCGAAGTCCGGAGGAGTTTTCGGCGGGCGGCAGCAATGAGATTACCTCGTCCACCTCACCACACCATCAGCAGTCGTCGCACCACCAGGTGGGGCAGCAGTCGTCAGGAGCTCAACCACCGTCGCAGCACATCATAGCCACCGTTAATCAGCATGCCAAACTTTTGCCCAGCTCTAGTTCCCTGCCAAACGGCAATGGCAGTTCGACGCTAGCGGCCACGAACAACGAACCAAGTCGGATTAGGATCAACAAGAACCTGATGAGTCAGCAGCCGGTGGTTGCGGTAACCGGCATTGCCCCACATCACCACCAGCACCACTCAACGCACATGCATCACTTTAGCCATGGGTACTACAAGAGCCAGGCCTCTTCGCCCACCCAATCCTCCAGTGCTGGCCTGAATCTGAGTACGCACTCATCGAATGTGGTCAGTTCGCCCCATCATGCGAACCAACAGAAGTCCCAGCACAGTTCGGCAGGATCTGGGAATCATAGCCTGCCAAATGGTAAACCTCATTTGGGCAGTGAGTTTGAGCTGTCCACGGACACAGATGATACGGACAGTCTGAACGGCGAACCCGACTCGAGTGCCATGTTACCACCCTGGGAGCAGGCTGTGGAGTCTCTGAGAGAAACCCGACCCAGAGACCGGGAGAGAGTGCTCCACCTACTCCAGAGATTACTGCAGGAGAACCATCAATATCGATATAATAACATCCAATTGAGTGAGCTGCTCCACAAACAAGATGCCCATATAGCCGATCTTACGGAGCAGCTTCAACGGTATCGCAGACAATACGAGGAACAGGTCTGCAAAGTGGATCTGCGAAAGATGCCGTTCAAGCAGCAGACTCGACTGGAGGATGCCGTCGAAGAGGGTCGAGGCGAAGCAGAGGAGGACGAGGACCTCGAGGAGGAGGAAATCGAGGACAGGGCCAATAACAATAATCAACTGGAGCTATCTCCCCTGACGAAGCCTCCAACAACCCTAAACTGTTGTGGGAGCGAAGGGGATCTCGAAAGACTCGATGAGCCGGAAAACAAAAGAATAAAGCTGCAGGAAGTAGAGAAACTGGAGCACAGGCAGGTGGCTGAAGAGGAGAGTCCATCTAATAATTCGGAATCCGATGATCTGGAAAAACCTCAAGAAAATGGCGAGAAAACCCTCTAAGTAAAACTCTTAAAAGTCCCCAGCCCAGTCAAATCTCCAGCGATGAGGAAATGGATGAAGATGAGGACGAAGACGAGGCGGATGAGGACGAAGAAGTTCAGATTGAAGCTCCCCATAGTAGTGCTCTGGCCACGCCCCCCACGGCAACAACGCCCCTTTCGCCGGATTCGGCGGCAACTGCTGGACAATTGTTCGATAGCAGCAACAGCAGCGATGAATCCTCAATGAAAAAGGCCCAGATGTCCGCCTGTCATGCACTGGAAAAAATCAGCAATAATAATGGCAGTGTGCAGAACAATCAGAGGCTGGAGGAGGAAAGCCAGGAGGAAGAGGCGGACGAGGAGGATCCAGAAGAAGAGGACTCCGATGACGATGAGATGCCATTGCAGCAGCGACAGCAGCAACAACGTCAGCGGGTGGTGGTTCCACAGACGGTGGTCAGTGGATCACTTACCGCCGGACACCATCAAGCATCAGCACCACATACCCCCATGGCCACCAAGGCCAGCAAGAAGCAAACACCACCAGCACCACCCACTGCAGCCACATCCACCACCACCACAACAACAGCGACAACGAACTGCGAGTTACAAATCAAAAAGGAAATAGCCTAGAGATAGAAACCCCAAAAACCTCTCAGAGAAAAGCTCTTTCCACTCACCCACACACACACCAACACGACAAAACAGTTAATACTTGGTTAAGATCCCTATTTTATTTGGAAAGCAAAGTGCAGCCGTAACTCAAGCACAAAGCCTAGACGCACATTTTGCCCATTTTAGGGATATGACAAAGAAAGCAAATCATTAGTAACCAGGAAGGGATTAGATCGTATTTGACATTTTTTAGGCAATGCTTTTCAAAGAGCCCGCTAAGTGAAAGTGACTGTTAAGCGGCAAAGTAAACTTTCTAAGATAACTTAAAATGTTTGGTTCTCTAGAAACAAATATTCAAGATAAAGTTAAAAACCTTTTATCAATTTCTCAATATTTTTTAAAAATGAGGTTTCTTTGATGATGTCAATTAACTGACAAGCTTAAAAGCCTCAACAAAAATATGACAAAGGGGAAGTTTGATTTGCATGCCGTTTACCCCATAAAACAAAAAACTATTCAAAATTTTTTAAATATATTCTAAAACGCTTTTACATAGCTTGAATCGATCTCACTTTTAAAAACAAACAAAAAGGACAAAAATAAAATTCATCTACGCTTTCCGATTTCGAAAAACCTTTCAGCGTTGCTTGCAGAAATTACAAATGAAACCAAAGCTTTAAAAAAGAAAATGAAATTTGTGTATATTATCGAACGACCAATTTGTGCGTGTGTTTTTACCACTTACTGCTAAACCTAATTAAGTTATTGTTTTTGTTTTTTAATAAAAACTTGTAAGCTCTGCAAGACATTTAAACCCAAAACCAGATTCAAAGCAAGGCTTCGAAAGCAAAATTTAGGAAAGTTTTTCTTTGGTCAAACAGGCAGCTGGTTCTTATTAGGGGAGGAAGCTTGCACGTCGCCCTATGGTAACCAATGTAATTACATTTAGTTTAAACCTAACTTTAAGTTAAACAGACAAATTGAAGGAGCAAAAAGAAAGAGAGAGAGAGGGAGAAAGCGAGAGCGAGAACACACAAAATGAACCCACCACAGACAAGAGCAGAAAATAAATGCTAAACAATTCTAACATAATTCTTATTAAAGAAGGGAAAACCAATTTTTATGAATAAGAAGTTGCCGCGTTAAATTTATACAATACAAATACGAGTATATGGTATGAGTAATATTCAACGATATATGATAGATGATGAGCAGCAAATGCGGGATTATTAATTAATGCTAAGCCCAAGCCTCCACGAGAGCGCGTAAACATATACATAAACATACAAACATAAAGATTAATATTTATTGTAGCTGCTAGTTCTAATTCGAGCAATTCTCTTAATTGTATAATTATAGTCTTCTTCTGTTCTTCTTCACCTTGTAAGCTTTGCTCTGTAGGCATTTAGTTTCGTAGATCGTAACCGTACAACAACAACAACAACAACAACAACCACATTTGCTAACTAGTTCTTAAGGCTTCTTAAGCTCTTCTTCGGCGGCTCAGTTCTTTGTCTATTGTGAATGGCATCGACACTGGTCCTCAATTTTTTTGTATATATATATATATATTATATTTTTCCTTCGACGAGATTAACGTACTATGGATTTTAGTTGCCAACACTTTGTGAGAAGCGTATAAGCATATGCTAGATATCTTCTGGATGATAAACCTTCTTCTGGAATAAACCCAAGCCAAGAGCCAAGCGAAAAGAGCGCAGAGATTTCAAAAATCTATAAACTTTTGTTATTAAAAAACATATTTCATAAATTATTTATGCCTGTGTGTGTTTGTACTTTCTAAAAGAAAACATTTCGTTCTGTATTTAAGAATACATTTTCTAAGCTAAAAACAAAAACAAAATTTCAAAAACGAAACAAAAACATTTAAACAAATTTATAACCGAAATTTGTCTACATCATAAGCTAAAATTGTGTAAAATTGTATAAATTTAAAAAGGCTATAAACGAAACATTTAAAACGTAAATAAAACATTTATAAATCATTTAAATTGAGACATTAAACGTGAAACAAATACATTGTTATGCATATTTAAAAAGGTTCGATAAAAATTGATATGCAACAAAAATACGAAAATACAAAAAAAAAAAAAAAAAAAAACAAAACGAATTACAATTGCTATGCAAAGGAATAAAAACAAAAATATACTTATTATTGTAAATGAATTTCTCCAAAAACTTTTGTGTTTCATTTGCCAGACCAGAACCAGTACGTTAATAAATAAATAACTTTAAACAAATTGTAGAAGACAGCAGCAAAGCAGTTAAGTACCGAATGAATAGGGACGAAAAATGGTTAATCAAAAGCGTCGAAACGGTTTTCAGCAAATTTCGTGTATTTATGGCCAAATTTTACAAACGATGGAAATAGTTGAGCATACTACAGAGACGATAAAGACCCAAAAACATTTTTTGTATCATTTTTGCTAACAACCCAAAGAGATAAACAACAACAACAACAACAACAAAACAAACAATCATTTTTATAATTAAACGTTTAAAATATATTGACAAATTTTACATAACCCGAGTGTTTATATATGAAATATTATATATTTAAATTTAAATACGAAATAGAACGATGCCCAGCAGAAAATAAGAGCATCTTTGACCCCGCTTAATGAATCGACTTCAAGAACTTGTTAAAAACTTAATCGTGCAAAGGCTAAGCAACCAGAAGAACAAGAAATCACAAAATAATGGCATAAGTTATATATATATATATATATTAATTATTTAAGCATGCAGCAACAAATCCGCGTCTTGTCAAAATACAACATATACATACATATAATAATAATATATGTCTGACGATTCAGAATGCAGAAATAAAATGTACAAATTGTGGAGCAAATAAACAATAGAAAATGTAGTGAGAATTTGGGGGACAGAGGCGTATGGACGCGTAACGAAAACATCAAATGAAATGCACCACAGCAAATAAAGTTTAATCAAATTAAACAGTTAATGAAAAAGCAAATTTGACTTCAACGTTTCATATTTAAGTAGTGCAGAAACAAATAAATACAAACGAAAACAAAAGTAAATTATTGCATATGTAATGAAAACAAAAACAACAAATAAAAAACCGATAAATATTATGCAAAACATTTCAATGAGACTTTTATTTACAATGAAAAAGCTGGTAAACTTCATGTTTAAAATTAAATTTAAAAAAAATCAATTTTTGCTTATTACCAAAAATTTTGAATTCATATGCAAATTTAACATGAACTGGATTTATTAAGTAAATATTTAGTTCTTAGTTCAATTTAACTCTTCTTAATGGGTAAATTTAATTTTTTTATTTAGAGGCATTCGGAATTGTCATTTAATTATATTTTATAAACCCCTTACACTCCCTAAAAGATGCATTACAAAATATCAATCTCAAGTTTAGGTTTATTAATTGCGCTTAAAATCAATGAAATCACTTAAAAACGTAAATACAATCTTTAATTTTAATAAACATTATGTATATTACACCGACATTTTGCCGTTATGTAGATGACTTCTATGTAGATAAAGATTTCGGGTAGAATCAAATAAGTAAAATAGGATTATGTTGTTTCTACCTAACAATAGATGGCGATTGTCTGTATGTAAGAAGTAGAAAAACAAGATTACAAGACAAGAAACAAGATTTGTTTTTACAGTGAAGATTGCCGATATTGATCAAATTTTTTTTTATTAATCGGAATTTTTTGAGTGTGGTACACAGTTCGACGGGGAGGTATGACGAGGTATGACATTCCATGCTACGATCATTTTTGGCTTCGTAATGAGGAAAATACTGATATTTTGGGAGGTAAATCGGCACAGACTGATTTTCGGATTTTTGGAAAGGGGTAACATCATAAAAATTCACGAAAATTCTCAAAAAAATCACTTTTTGAGTGTGGTACATAGTTCGACGGGGAATTTAATTACGAATTCAACGAGGTATGACATTCCATGCTACGATCATTTTTGGCTTCGTAATGAGGAAAATACTGATATTTTGGGAGGTAAATCGGCACAGACTGATTTTCGGATTTTTGGAAAGGGGTAACATCATAAAAATTCACGAAAATTCTCAAAAAAATCACTTTTTGAGTGTGGTACACAGTTCGACGGGGAATTCAATTACGAATTCAACGAGGTATGGCATTCCATGTTACGATCATTTTTGGCTTCGTAATGAGGAAAATACTGATATTTTGGGCGGTAAATCGGCACAGACTGATTTTCGGATTTTTGGAAAGGGGTAACATCATAAAAATTCACGAAAATTCTCAAAAAAATCACTTTTTGAGTGTGGTACATAGTTCGACGGGGAATTTAATTACGAATTCAACGAGGTATGACATTCCACGTTACGATCATTTTTGGCTTCGTAATGAGGAAAATACTGATATTTTGGGCGGTAAATCGGCACAGACTGATTTTCGGATTTTTGGAAAGAGGTAACATCATAAAAATTCACGAAAATTCTCAAAAAAATCACTTTTTGAGTGTGGTACACAGTTCGACGGGGAATTTAATTACGAATTCAACGAGGTATGACATTCCATGCTACGATCATTTTTGGCTTCGTAATGAGGAAAATACTGATATTTTGGGCGGTAAATCGGCACAGACTGATTTTCGGATTTTTAGAAAGGGGTAACATCATAAAAATTCACGAAAATTCTCAAAAAAATCACTTTTGAGTGTGGTACACAGTTCGACGGGGAATTTAATTACGAATTCAACGAGGTATGGCATTCCATGTTACGATCATTTTTGGCTTCGTAATGAGGAAAATACTGATATTTTGGGCGGTAAATCGGCACAGACTGATTTTCGGATTTTTGGAAAGGGGTAACATCATAAAAATTCACGAAAATTCTCAAAAAAATCACTTTTTGAGTGTGGTACACAGTTCGACGGGGAATTTAATTACGAATTCAACGAGGTATGGCATTCCATGTTACGATCATTTTTGGCTTCGTAATGAGGAAAATACTGATATTTTGGGCGGTAAATCGGCACAGACTGATTTTCGGATTTTGGAAAGGGGTAACATCATAAAAATTCACGAAAATTCTCAAAAAAATCACTTTTGAGTGTGGTACACAGTTCGACGGGGAATTTAATTACGAATTCAACGAGGTATGGCATTCCATGTTACGATCATTTTTGGCTTCGTAATGAGGAAAATACTGATATTTTGGGCGGTAAATCGGCACAGACTGATTTTCGGATTTTTGGAAAGGAGGTAACATCATAAAAATTCACGAAAATTCTCAAAAAAATCACTTTTTGAGTGTGGTACACAGTTCGACGGGGAATTTAATTACGAATTCAACGAGGTATGGCATTCCATGTTACGATCATTTTTGGCTTCGTAATGAGGAAAATACTGATATTTTGGGCGGTAAATCGGCACAGACTGATTTTCGGATTTTTGGAAAGGGGTAACATCATAAAAATTCACGAAAATTCTCAAAAAAATCACTTTTTGAGTGTGGTACACAGTTCGACGGGGAATTTAATTACGAATTCAACGAGGTATGGCATTCCATGTTACGATCATTTTTGGCTTCGTAATGAGGAAAATACTGATATTTTGGGCGGTAAATCGGCACAGACTGATTTTCGGATTTTTGGAAAGGGGTAACATCATAAAAATTCACGAAAATTCTCAAAAAAATCACTTTTTGAGTGTGGTACACAGTTCGACGGGGAATTTAATTACGAATTCAACGAGGTATGGCATTCCATGTTACGATCATTTTTGGCTTCGTAATGAGGAAAATACTGATATTTTGGGCGGTAAATCGGCACAGACTGATTTTCGGATTTTTGGAAAGGGGTAACATCATAAAAATTCACGAAAATTCTCAAAAAAATCACTTTTTGAGTGTGGTACACAGTTCGACGGGGAATTTAATTACGAATTCAACGAGGTATGGCATTCCATGTTACGATCATTTTTGGCTTCGTAATGAGGAAAATACTGATATTTTGGGCGGTAAATCGGCACAGACTGATTTTCGGATTTTTGGAAAGGGGTAACATCATAAAAATTCACGAAAATTCTCAAAAAAATCACTTTTTGAGTGTGGTACACAGTTCGACGGGGAATTTAATTACGAATTCAACGAGGTATGGCATTCCATGTTACGATCATTTTTGGCTTCGTAATGAGGAAAATACTGATATTTTGGGCGGTAAATCGGCACAGACTGATTTTCGGATTTTTGGAAAGGGGTAACATCATAAAAATTCACGAAAATTCTCAAAAAAATCACTTTTTGAGTGTGGTACACAGTTCGACGGGGAATTTAATTACGAATTCAACGAGGTATGGCATTCCATGTTACGATCATTTTTGGCTTCGTAATGAGGAAAATACTGATATTTTGGGCGGTAAATCGGCACAGACTGATTTTCGGATTTTTGGAAAGGGGTAACATCATAAAAATTCACGAAAATTCTCAAAAAAATCACTTTTTGAGTGTGGTACACAGTTCGACGGGGAATTTAATTACGAATTCAACGAGGTATGGCATTCCATGTTACGATCATTTTTGGCTTCGTAATGAGGAAAATACTGATATTTTGGGCGGTAAATCGGCACAGACTGATTTTCGGATTTTTGGAAAGGGGTAACATCATAAAAATTCACGAAAATTCTCAAAAAAATCACTTTTGAGTGTGGTACACAGTTCGACGGGGAATTTAATTACGAATTCAACGAGGTATGGCATTCCATGTTACGATCATTTTTGGCTTCGTAATGAGGAAAATACTGATATTTTGGGCGGTAAATCGGCACAGACTGATTTTCGGATTTTTGGAAAGGGGTAACATCATAAAAATTCACGAAAATTCTCAAAAAAATCACTTTTTGAGTGTGGTACACAGTTCGACGGGGAATTTAATTACGAATTCAACGAGGTATGGCATTCCATGTTACGATCATTTTTGGCTTCGTAATGAGGAAAATACTGATATTTTGGGCGGTAAATCGGCACAGACTGATTTTCGGATTTTTGGAAAGGGGTAACATCATAAAAATTCACGAAAATTCTCAAAAAAATCACTTTTTGAGTGTGGTACACAGTTCGACGGGGAATTTAATTACGAATTCAACGAGGTATGGCATTCCATGTTACGATCATTTTTGGCTTCGTAATGAGGAAAATACTGATATTTTGGGCGGTAAATCGGCACAGACTGATTTTCGGATTTTTGGAAAGGGGTAACATCATAAAAATTCACGAAAATTCTCAAAAAAATCACTTTTTGAGTGTGGTACACAGTTCGACGGGGAATTTAATTACGAATTCAACGAGGTATGGCATTCCATGTTACGATCATTTTTGGCTTCGTAATGAGGAAAATACTGATATTTTGGGCGGTAAATCGGCACAGACTGATTTTCGGATTTTTGGAAAGGGGTAACATCATAAAAATTCACGAAAATTCTCAAAAAAATCACTTTTTGAGTGTGGTACACAGTTCGACGGGGAATTTAATTACGAATTCAACGAGGTATGGCATTCCATGTTACGATCATTTTTGGCTTCGTAATGAGGAAAATACTGATATTTTGGGCGGTAAATCGGCACAGACTGATTTTCGGATTTTTGGAAAGGGGTAACATCATAAAAATTCACGAAATGGTACACAGTTCGACGGGGAATTTAATTACGAATTCAACGAGGTATGGCATTCCACGTTACGATCATTTTTGGCTTCGTAATGAGGAAAATACTGATATTTTGGGCGGTAAATCGGCACAGACTGATTTTCGGATTTTTGGAAAGGGGTAACATCATAAAAATTCACGAAAATTCTCAAAAAATCACTTTTTGAGGGTGGTACACAGTTCGACGGGGAATTCAATTACGAATTCAACGAGGTATGGCATTCCATGTTACGATCATTTTTGGCTTCGTAATGAGGAAAATACTGATATTTTGGGCGGTAAATCGGCACAGACTGATTTTCGGATTTTTGGAAAGGGGTAACATCATAAAAATTCACGAAAATTCTCAAAAAAAATCACTTTTTGAGTGTGGTACACAGTTCGACGGGGAATTTAATTACGAATTCAACGAGGTATGGCATTCCATGTTACGATCATTTTTGGCTTCGTAATGAGGAAAATACTGATATTTTGGGCGGTAAATCGGCACAGACTGATTTTCGGATTTTTGGAAAGGGGTAACATCATAAAAATTCACGAAAATTCTCAAAAAAATCACTTTTTGAGTGTGGTACACAGTTCGACGGGGAATTTAATTACGAATTCAACGAGGTATGGCATTCCACGTTACGATCATTTTTGGCTTCGTAATGAGGAAAATACTGATATTTTGGGCGGTAAATCGGCACAGACTGATTTTCGGATTTTTGGAAAGGGACATCATAAAAATTCTCAAAAAAATCACTTTTTGAGTGTGGTACACAGTTCGACGGGGAATTTAATTACGAATTCAACGAGGTATGGCATTCCACGTTACGATCATTTTTGGCTTCGTAATGAGGAAAATACTGATATTTTGGGCGGTAAATCGGCACAGACTGATTTTCGGATTTTTGGAAAGGGACTGATTTTCGGATTTTTTAAATTCACGAAAATTCTCAAAAAAATCACTTTTTGAGTGTGGTACACAGTTCGACGGGGAATTTAATTACGAATTCAACGAGGTATGGCATTCCATGTTACGATCATTTTTGGCTTCGTAATGAGGAAAATACTGATATTTTGGGCGGTAAATCGGCACAGACTGATTTTCGGATTTTTGGAAAGGGTAACATCATAAAAATTCACGAAAATTCTCAAAAAAATCACTTTTGAGTGTGGTACACAGTTCGACGGGGAATTTAATTACGAATTCAACGAGGTATGGCATTCCATGTTACGATCATTTTTGGCTTCGTAATGAGGAAAATACTGATATTTTGGGCGGTAAATCGGCACAGACTGATTTTCGGATTTTTGGAAAGGGGTAACATCATAAAAATTCACGAAAATTCTCAAAAAAATCACTTTTTGAGTGTGGTACACAGTTCGACGGGGAATTTAATTACGAATTCAACGAGGTATGGCATTCCATGTTACGATCATTTTTGGCTTCGTAATGAGGAAAATACTGATATTTTGGGCGGTAAATCGGCACAGACTGATTTTCGGATTTTTGGAAAGGGGTAACATCATAAAAATTCACGAAAATTCTCAAAAAAATCACTTTTTGAGTGTGGTACACAGTTCGACGGGGAATTTAATTACGAATTCAACGAGGTATGGCATTCCATGTTACGATCATTTTTGGCTTCGTAATGAGGAAAATACTGATATTTTGGGCGGTAAATCGGCACAGACTGATTTTCGGATTTTTGGAAAGGGGTAACATCATAAAAATTCACGAAAATTCTCAAAAAAATCACTTTTTGAGTGTGGTACACAGTTCGACGGGGAATTTAATTACGAATTCAACGAGGTATGGCATTCCATGTTACGATCATTTTTGGCTTCGTAATGAGGAAAATACTGATATTTTGGGCGGTAAATCGGCACAGACTGATTTTCGGATTTTTGGAAAGGGGTAACATCATAAAAATTCACGAAAATTCTCAAAAAAATCACTTTTTGAGTGTGGTACACAGTTCGACGGGGAATTTAATTACGAATTCAACGAGGTATGGCATTCCATGTTACGATCATTTTTGGCTTCGTAATGAGGAAAATACTGATATTTTGGGCGGTAAATCGGCACAGACTGATTTTCGGATTTTGGAAAGGGGTAACATCATAAAAATTCACGAAAATTCTCAAAAAAATCACTTTTTGAGTGTGGTACACAGTTCGACGGGGAATTTAATTACGAATTCAACGAGGTATGGCATTCCATGTTACGATCATTTTTGGCTTCGTAATGAGGAAAATACTGATATTTTGGGCGGTAAATCGGCACAGACTGATTTTTGATTTTTGGAAAGGGGTAACATCATAAAAATTCACGAAAATTCTCAAAAAAATCACTTTTTGAGTGTGGTACACAGTTCGACGGGGAATTTAATTACGAATTCAACGAGGTATGGCATTCCATGTTACGATCATTTTTGGCTTCGTAATGAGGAAAATACTGATATTTTGGGCGGTAAATCGGCACAGACTGATTTTCGGATTTTTGGAAAGGGGTAACATCATAAAAATTCACGAAAATTCTCAAAAAAATCACTTTTTGAGTGTGGTACACAGTTCGACGGGGAATTTAATTACGAATTCAACGAGGTATGGCATTCCATGTTACGATCATTTTTGGCTTCGTAATGAGGAAAATACTGATATTTTGGGCGGTAAATCGGCATAGACTGATTTTCGGATTTTTGGAAAGGGGTAACATCATAAAAATTGACGAAAATTCTCAAAAAAATCACTTTTTGAGTGTGGTACACAGTTCGACGGGGAATTTAATTACGAATTCAACGAGGTATGGCATTCCATGTTACGATCATTTTTGGCTTCGTAATGAGGAAAATACTGATATTTTGGGCGGTAAATCGGCATAGACTGATTTTCGGATTTTTGGAAAGGGGTAACATCATAAAAATTGACGAAAATTCTCAAAAAAATCACTTTTTGAGTGTGGTACACAGTTCGACGGGGAATTTAATTACGAATTCAACGAGGTATGGCATTCCATGTTACGATCATTTTTGGCTTCGTAATGAGGAAAATTCTGATATTTTGGGCGGTAAATCGGCACAGACTGATTTTCGGATTTTTGAAAAGGGGTGAAAAAAATACATAAAGTAGAATTATGTTTTTTCTACCTAACAATAGATGGCGCTTGCCTGTATGTAAGAAGTAGAAAAACAAGATAACAAGACAAGAAAAAGATTTGTTTTTACAGTGAAAATTGTCGAATATTGATCATCGGGAAATATTAATAATTTGTATAAACAAATTCTGATATACATAAAGACCTATGTTGATGATTTTTCATGTTTTATTAAATTAAAAACTTTTAAATCGCATCAAAATATGCAAAACAAAAACGAAATGAAAATGCTAGATATTTATTTCATAAACTTTTGGTTCCATAAAACTAACAAAATCATTATATTTTTATTGTGTCACTAAACACTCTTGTCCGCCTGGCAAACAAAACGGAATGTCACGCTGCACTCGAGAACCCACATGAGATCGTGATAAACAACAACGCAATGTTGATCTTCGGTGTAGGATTTGGGTTCGCCGAATCCCCATTTTAAGAAAGTAGCTCTTTTTCCGGAGGACCCAGTTCTAAAAACGCCCTCTTCCTGAATATCATTTATGCCGAGAAAATACGAAACAGATGGATTCAGTCTTGATTTAAGTTCATTAAATTCATTTTCACTGAAATTGTAGGCCAGGTAACCCCCCATAAGTTCACACTCGCGCGCAGCACTGGTCCAATTTAGAGTTTCATTATGCTCAATGTAGAAATATTTGTTCCCGATTCTCTCGAACTTTGGTAGTAGTCTTTTCACTTTTTTCAAGAGACATCTTAATGTCAAGAAGTGTTTTCTGTATATCTGTTAGTTGAGTCTCCACTGTGACTTGCTTGCTTTCGATTCTATCAAGTCTGTCCTCGATGCTCTCCGATATAATCTTTATCCACGATTCCTTCAATGATGCTTGATGACCTTCAATCTGATCTTTAATAGCAGTCTGCTGCACTGATAATTTCTCCAATTTTTCTTGGGTTTCGTTCAGCCTAACATTGTCGCAGGATTGATGCGAAGGATGCTCCAACAGGTACTCAGATTGAGTAATATCCTTGGTTTCTGACAGCAATACATTTATAATAATTCCGAATACAAAAATACATATAAACTTTAACATGCTTAAAAAGCTTAACTTCTCCCGACAAAAGTTTAAGAAACACTGAATTTTTATAAATTTGTTTACTTGCCAAGATGCCGAACTTCTGCTGATAAGCAAAAAATCATAAAAATGTTATCAACTTGGAAATGGGGAAAACATAATAGCATTTATTTAAGCAGTGCAAACTTGTATATGTATATAATGAGCAAAATCTGAATTATAGTTTGGACTTTAATATATTTGAACGAAATTTAATCATCAAAAGAAATTACGAATCAACCTGCAATTCTCAACCAACAAGGAATAGATGGATTCATTCTTAAAGTAAGTTCTTCAAATTCATCTTCGCAAAATTTGTTCTCTAGGTAACCTTCTCTGGATTATTTTGACTTTTTCAAGACAAATTTTAATACCAGTTTTCTGTATATCTGACCGTTGAGAATCCATTGGGAGAAGCTTACTTTTCATTCTGTCAAGTCTGTCGTCGATTCTCTTCGATCCGATTATATAAGTCTACTTTTAAATCCGTAGAAAATTAGTTTGATCAACTATGACGAATCCAAATTATCTTTTATATATATTTAAAGTCAGAAAGCAAATAACTTTCAGTCTGGAGCAACCTTATGAGAGACCAATAAAATGAAATACTTATGTAAGTAAAAGAAAAAAATATTTATGGCTTTCTTAAAAACTCAACCACCCCTTCAAAGTCTTAGCCTTTTTGGCTACATCCGTGCTAGGCCAATTCACCGAAAAGCTCTTCCACAATTTAATCCAGTATCATAAAAACAGCAATTTCATAGTTTCGACTCTCAGCGTAGAGATCGGCATGAGCATGATCCTCGTGGGAGCGGAAGAAAACACTGCCAAAGAACTGAGGGCTGCTCTCCTCCTGCCACAGGATAAAAACCAGGTGGCCAGCCAATTCGAAGATCTCTTATCTTATCTCGATAAGCGTAAGAAGGTGGCAATGCTACATATAGCTAATCGATTATTCGTCAACGAATCATATGAAATTAACAAGGACTATAATGAACTAGTCAAGAAGTCATTCAGGGCCGAGGCAGTGACGATTAATCTGGCTAATCAATCGAAGGCAGCCTGGACTATCAACGACTGGGTTATGGATCAGACCCTCGATAATCTAAAAGGTGTTATTGCCCCCGAAAACTTGGCACACGATGAAACTGCGGTGCTGGTTAACGCCGCTTTCTTCAAGGGCTACTGGAAGACTAGGTTTAGAAGAGTCCACACCGAGCCAACGACATTCTACGTATCTAATCATCATAAAGTTTCTGTCAATATGATGTCTCAAGTGGGGAGATTTAAAATGAATGAACTCCCTTATGGCCAAATCATTGAGCTGCCATTCGCCTACTCAAACCTTTCCATGGTAATCGTTCTGCCGAAGAACAATAGTTATCTAGGAAAAGCGGAGAGCGTAATCGAAAGATACTCCGAGGTACTTCCAAACGAAGTGCATGTACGGGTGCAGCTTCCCGATATTTAAAATCGAATTCCGCACAGAACTCATTGGAATTCTAAAGAAGGTATGTGTCTTCTGTTTAGTTTGTTTCTACTCTCATGTTATCAATTTACAGATGGGAATAAAGGAACTCTTTACCGATTCCTCCGACCTCAGCAGCCTTGTCAAGCCAAAAGGTACCAGAATCAGTCGAGTCGTACACAAAGCCTATATAGAGATTAACGAAGAAGGCGCCTCGGCTGGAGGAGCTTTTGCTGGAGCCATTTCTGTTGCGGGGCTTATCTGGTACTCTGTTGTTAATTTATCCATAATTTTAAATTTTATTTGTTATCCTCCCTTCCGCAGACAATGCGCCCAAGGCATCTTTTAGGGCCGACAGACCGTTTGTCTTTCTGATTCGAGATAAGAACACCGTGTTCTTCAGGGGACGTCTCATGGATCCGATGTCTATAGCGACAGTTTAACATCTCCAGAGTCCAGACATATTATTGATATATTATTATTATTATTTGATAATAATATTGGGAAGCGGAAAAATACAATTAAATAATAAAACAATAACATCGCATGCTGTAAACTTGAATCATTGCATTGGCATTGGTAATCATATTATTAAAGTTTGTCAAACTAAGGTATTTCTGACAGAGAAATGTACAATTACGCTAACAGGTATAATATCCTGTTGCCTTCGACTAAATTCATTCATTAATACAAATATATATAGCATCCCTAAGAAACTCATCTGTGAAAAGAGCATCTCGAGAGAGCGCAACAATGGAGAAAAGCAAAACAAAAACTAATCTCGTTTACCTGTTTGGGAGAAACGTTGAGAAAGAGCCAAAAGAGCAACCTGGCCGAAGTCTCTTCTTCAGTCTTTACTAAATCGCGATCGTGAAAAGAACAGCCAGCGGTCAGCTGAATGCAGATTCTGTATTTGAAATATCTAAAAGCGCAATAAAAATTTTCATTCAATGTCTATAAATTAAAAAGTATAATTTTAACAAGAAAGTTGTGAAAATAAATACCATTTATTATGTTTTAAATTGTTTTCCCAGACCGTTTTGTTTGCCAAAACGATTTTGTGGCTTGGTGTTGGCCAAGAATTTTCAGCCAGGAACCGGTTTCTGGCTCCCACAAATCCAGCTATTAAAAGAGAGAAATTAAGAGAGTTTCTCCTTGAAGCGAGTCGTGGTAGTGAAAACATAAACAAACCCCTTAGCAAAATAATAACAAAAACAAGTGCTTGAAGAGGGACATGGCAACACGTGCATCCCTACACGATTGATTGCATTTTCTCAAAGCTAAAGACCTATATTTCCAAGTTAATCATGAGTCTGCCCCAGTTAATCGACGACCTGCAGCGCCTTTCAGAGGATCAGGATAGTGCGGATGTGGTATTTATTTGCGGCAGAGATGAGCGCATCTATGCCCACAGATTAATGCTGATGGCACGGTAAGTTCCAAGGTGCACAGTAAAAAATGCGGAATTAACTTTTTTTTATTAAAATAGAATATTAATGGTCTCTAACTTTATTACTAAATTGTAAAATATTTATATTTTCCAAGCCATTTAAGTACTTTTGCTTTTCTCACTGTGGAAGAGGATAATTACCACCATTCGTTTTCCTTTTTGGGACCTTACAATGTTGCGTGCTGGAATCTCGGGCATTCCAGTTGGTCACTCAATTAATTTGTGCTGTCTCTTCATTCACTCAATTCGATTTCAGATGCAAGAGCTTCAAGACAGCGAAGAGAGGTGAGGTGTGTCGAATTCCCGGATGCACAGTTTCCCCAGCTGCCCCAGGAGCCTCAACTCCAACTACCATAAGGTTGCCCCATGTGAATCCGGAACTATTTAGGCAGTTTATTCTATACGTTTACACAGCAAAGGTACGGAATAAAAAAGTGATTTGTTCTTAATTCTTAATACATTTTGTAAAACGGATTTTCAGTTGGTTCTCCAGGACTCGCAAGTTTTTCAAATGATGATGATGGCACAGGACATGGGCGTTGTCGATCTGCGTACCGCCTGCGAGGATCACGTTATATCCACACTATCGGTGGACAATGCCTGCACATTTTTAACCGCCGTAATGGATATACACGAAAAAGCAGGTGAGCTTATGGCTATAAAAAGAAAATACTACGAAATCTTTAAACTTCGCGCCAAATTAATTTCCATATTTGACATGTCAAGTAAACTGTAAAACCAGAGAGGACGTTCAGAGTAACATTTCTGGTATTTTTAATTAACATCAAATATAACTAAACCTGCAACCACCTATCGATAGACAAACATATGCACGTTGTGTTATCAGAATCACGTAACACATGTAACGCATGTTTTTATTGCATTATTAAACTGTATATATTACAACTAATCAATAGCTGGCAGATATAGTTAGTCCCGATCTGCCCCAAAATGCAGAAGCCGATGTGTGTTCTCTAGAAATTTGATTGTTCGCGCTGTAATCTTTGGCCATAAGTCCGAGAGATGAGGTTCCACGAATCCATAAACCGGTCCATGCACATGGAAATGCATTTCTATATCGAAAATTTCAGAAATTGGGATTAAGCAATAATCTTTTTGCACTTAATAACCCATAGCTTGCCTGTTCAGAATTATCGAGAGACGTTCCCGGCTTGTTGACACATTTCTTAAAGCACTTTTGCGTCATTTGTGTGAGCAATTCCTGGGCATTCGCAACAGCAATCTGTTGCTTTACCTGATCCATAAGTTCGCCCTTATCAACATTAGCCATGGCCATTTGTTGTATTTTATATAAACTATACTTTAATTCAGCTACGAAATATGGCAACAACTTCAGCCACCAACCACACAAACTTAACAGTGGGATGGCGATAGTTTATTTATAAGCGTTTATCGATATTGCGGTGATTAGCAATATATGACCATTTTGGTATTTTTTTATGTTTTGTGTGATCAACGATCTACGTCGAAAGCGTAAGATTCAGTTTCTTAAACAAATAATTAGCAAGACATTTTTTCAACATAAATATTCTTCAACAACGAAAATAAGTCAAACTTGTAGTTATTCGATAGTTCGGCTTACACTCCACATATTGACTCACCTAATCTGAATGTGGCCGTTTGTGCTATGTGATATTTTCGCAAATCGATAATTCTGCTTATCGCCTGGAAAAAAAAAGACGCCGGCAAAAAGAAGCGAAATTTTGTTTAACTGAATTAAAACCTCCGGAAATCATCGAAAATGTCGTTCAAGGGTAATCCCAAAGTGCAGAAGGTGATGGTGCAGCCCATCAACCTTATCTTCCGATACCTGCAGAACCGTTCCCGCGTGCAAGTCTGGTTATACGAAAACATATCGCTGCGTATTGAGGGCCACATTGTGGGGTTCGACGAGTACATGAACCTGGTGCTGGACGATGCCGAAGAGGTGTACGTGAAGACCCGCCAGCGTAGGAATCTCGGCAGGATCATGCTTAAGGGCGACAACATCACGCTCATACAGAACGTTAGTCCTACGAAGGACTAGGGGATAAAGCTCCTATCCTGCGAATTCTGAGATTTCCACCTGCTCCAGCTACGCGTCCTAAATATAAGTTAAATAAATGTAAAGCCGAAATATGAAGACGAATGTTCAAATAAAAAGTAGACTTTCTAAGTTCAAGTGTTTTAATGGGTTAATAAGCAAATTTCAGTAAAAGTGGACATGTTAGGAAAATTCTTTATTGGGAAATTTTCAAAGGTAAAACATTTGTATCTGCCTTTTAATAAATAAGTATTAATCATCACCTTTCCTTCTATTTGTAGGTGCAAAATGCGCTGCTTCGTTTATGGAACGCTGCATCATCTTTATAGGCGAAAATGCCAACGAGTGTGTCAAGACAAATGCGTTCCTTACTTTGACCAAGGATGCCATCATCAAGATTATTTCATCTGACTATGTAAGATAACTACATTCATAAACGACTTAAAGTCTTCTAGTGATGGTTTTAAACCACAAAACGTTATATCTTAATGATCATTAATCTTATATTTAATTCCTTGTATTACTCCCAATAGTTCTGTTTGGAGGAAGAGGAAGTTTGGCGTTGCGTTTTGTCCTGGGCCAAATACCAGGCGGGTGTCACCCAGCCTACTGCACATTGGACTGAGGAAGAGCGTGCTAGAGTGTGCCAACACCTAAGTGGTGTTATGGGTCATGTTCGTTTGCTTCTAATAGATAGTCAAGTTTTTGCGGAAGAAGTGGAGCCCACGGGAGCTGTACCGATGGAGCTATCCCTAGAACGCTACCGCTATGCCGCCTTGCATGCCAACAAAATGATGGATAATGATAAAAGACTGCAGCCCCGCTTGACTGTAGCGGTTAACATGTTTCCTGGCTCCCAAATCCTGAGGAATGATAACCTACCACTACAGACTGTTCTCAATAATTGGTTTGGAGTGCCCAAGCAAACCTGGAAATTAGTTTTCAGGGCATCAACCAATGGCTTTGATTCTGGGGCCTTTCATCGTTATTGTGATGGGGTGGCTCCCTGCATGGTTATTTGCTTGGGATCGCACGGTGAGATAAGTGGTGGCTTTACGGATGTGGCATGGGCTAAAACTAATCGGAAAGGTGGATACATCCAGTCCGAGAGGGCATTCCTTTTTGCTCTGAACCCTGCTAATGGTGAGCAGCCTGCCAAGTTCGAAATTGTTAAGAAACCGTATGCAATCTGCTATCATCCTGAGTAAGTCCAATGTCTAAACGTTAATACAGCTTACATTGACGTTTGTCTATGTTTTTAGTTGCGGTCCTATTTTCGGAGCTGGAGCGGATCTCCTCATCTCCAGCAACTGTAATACCAACATGGACTCCTATTCGAACCTTCCGCATTCGTATGACGGTGCCAACGCTGCTCATTTGACGCTCTTCGGGGACTATAATTTCACCATCACCGACTATGAGGTGTACACCGTAAACTCACCAAGTGGAAGTGGAAACAGTGGAACAAGTCAGAGCAGCAATCATAACCAGAACCTCTCAGCAAATAGCCAAGCTCCTGGGGTGCCTACAAAGGCTAAGTACGATAGATATTAGAAATCGGAAAACAACATGTAGTTGCATCAGCTATGCTGGCAATAAAACTATTTCCTTGAACAATTCAAAACACTCGAATATTGTAATCCCAGATCCGCAACGGCTGGGCTAATGGCATTAGGTGTCGGGTTCATGACTCCGCCCAAGGTAAAAACCAGAAATCGAAAGGTAATTAATGAATTGTTATATAAAGAAAACTTTTTTGGCGGCTGTCTTGACTTCCATCTAGATGCCAAGAATCGAACCAAATTAATTAACTGGTTTCCCACTTGTATGTAAAGCTGAAAGTGTTACCGAAAAAGAAACAAGAGGGCGGCTCCAATAGTTGGTAGTTTTCGCAGAATAAATACTTGAACATGGTACCAGGTACCAGTGCTGTCACTTCAGCTTTTCCCACAAAAACCTTGACTTTTAAATATAATATTAATGTAGGGTTCTTACTGTGTCAATTTAAGTTTAACATTCATTCTGAATTAAAAATGTTTTTTTATCTTAGCTAGATATCTTGAAAACTATTAGTACAGAATCTGTCAGCGAAAAGCGATCTTTTCCCTTCGGCACGTTCATCAACCTATGGCTTCACTCTCGCAGTGACTGCTCCATATTGTTACAGATATATAATAGTTATGAATGTGCACTTGAACCTCGTCCACACCTCTCGAGCAGTGGAACAATTGACAAAGAAAAACAAATGCGTAAATGGCAATTTCAGTTTGCTGTTTCAGTTCACTTCAGTTGGGCTTAAGCTATAACAATAATAGTGTCGGCTAATGCTGAGTTATAATGAAATCTGCGGCAACACCTCCCTAACACCCCCTTCGGAAATGAAGCTGAAGTTGCTCTCGACTGGTTTTCAACTACTTTTTAAAATGCTTCTGATAAATTGGTCCGCGCTCTAAATTGGTTCTAATTAAAGCTTTTTTATGCTGATCGAATCGATCAACATCGATGGCTGGCTTGGGCCCCCACATTTTTGTCATTCGTTTCGATCCGGGGATTGGACATCCAAACCTCCGAGAAATAACCTATAGAGAGAACCCCTTGACAATGGCAGCCAGCAACAAACACTTGATGTTTGTGGCGTTTTATTTTATTGTGGCTGCACAACGGATTGGCAGTTAAAATTTGTTAACGACTTAAGGCCAAAGCTCGAGAGCCACCTTTCGATAAGGTCTACAAATTGTTGCCGGCGCTGTTTCACTTCTCTTTGACAGACGACCAAAAAAGGCCCGCGGCCATATAATATCCAGGTCCAGGCGCTAGAAGGAATGTCATTTGTATATCTCGATTCAGTTCGATTTCGCGTCAAATTATTTGATTGTCGAGTGGACTCGGCTTTTGGATTTTGGAGCCATGGATTCGTTATGCTCCATGTGCTAACAGCAAAATCCGACCAAGAAGTTTCAATGTCTGTCGCATGAAAAGGGAAAGGCAAAAAAAAAAGTTGTTTTTTTCGTTTGAACTGAACTATGTGCAAACTTGTTCTGGCCTTAAGAAATCGGTTCGGTTCAAATTGCATCTGGGCTTGCAGCATGTGAGCACAGAGACTAGGGACGGGCAGGAAGTGCCATTGTGTCGGATGAATCATTAGCTTCCTCATATGGGGAAAACTATAAACAGTTTTATTGGCTTCTTCTGGGGAAACGGACGGAAGGCAGGGCTTCGATGCAGAATATTTGCTATATAATAAATATATACAGATCTGTAACTATATACAAATTCTATGTTATTTATTGAGAGTATATTTCTGATGCCCAAACTCCGGAAAAACGTTTGAACTTGTCATGCCTAATTTCTTATTAAACTAAAAACTGTTACAGTTCTTATTTTAAATAGCTTTCCGTCCCTGGATTATGAAAATATGCGATATTGGTTTGGGCTTGGTCAGCAGCAGCCCCCATGGAACAAAGGCCTGGCTATTAGCCATGGCCATGGTTATGGTTATGACTTGGCCAGCACTCAACATTACACAGAGAATAATACAAAAGACTTAAATGACGGGAACCTTATTCGAAAAGTTTCTATTTTAGATTTCAGGTTATTGTTGGGGTGACACCTTTTATTTGATTTGGCCTATTTTAGTAGATTTGTAAACAATCTACAACTCTTATGATACTTTTTTAGTATTTAGATTCATCGCTGGAGATACTAGAAATGTTATGGAATAAAGTATTACGTACTCCTTTTCATTTTCAATATTTTTCCCAGTGTCTTAGGCAGACAGCAGCTGGCCAAACCCAAGTGTTACACTTTAAGTGACTTATTTGCATGTAAGAATGCGAAAAAGGAAAAGTGGCTCAAGTCAGCGCGAGTGACCCTGAAAAGGGGATCTGGGTAGAAAAAGAATCACCCACGGGCCAGGGCAGTATCGTATATCCTCCATCAGAAAAATTCCCCACTCGGAACTGATTCATCGATCAAACAGGACGGACACCATTAAAGGGCGTTTTTCCCAGAAAAAATCATGCCAAAGATAAGATCATAGCACGCTGGGGTTGCTTATACCATCCGTTTCCGGCTCTCGAAAGGCGGGGAGCTCCAATTCTATAGGTGCTACTATGCAAAGTGGACGCATTGAACCGAGATCTGTGACGTAGACTTGTCCACACCTCCATCGATTAGCTGTTATACACCGAGTCATTCATTCACAGCATCATCGCCCGTCATCCATTTGCTCATCGCCCGATGCACTCGACACACTTCAGACCCCGCTGACCCCACCCTGTAACCACTAGCCACTGTTTCAGCTGGCTAAGAGAGAGTGTGAGATGTGAGACGCAGAGATATGCGGATGGAGAGAACCCTAGGGAGGAGGGTCTCCCATTATCCACTCTCTTAGACTGGCAGTCATGTGTGTAACGACTCGACTCGCGATGCTCTTCACAACCAGTTTTGAAAGCCCACTTTAAATATACTTTTGCTTTTCATTGCCTTCGATGTGAAATAAAACAGCGCAGACTTTGATTTCGGTTTGGTTACTGTGATTAATATGCGTTTCTCGGCAAAAGCCACTAAAAATGTATATCAGCCGCTTACGAGTCGACTGTTCGACGCATCCAGGCATTGACCTAGGTCACAAATGGCACCTCCAACGGGGTTCTCATTAACGTTAACCTAATCTCAGTTTGAGGGATGCCGTCGGCACTTGTCGAAGAAGATTCCCTCGGTTAAGGTATAGCAGAGGTATATTCAATTTTATATTCCAGAATCATTTTACAAGTTTTTATTCTTAATATAGTGTATTTAAGTTAGGGTTTTTTTAATTTTGGTCTCATTAACTTCTTAAAGAGGTTTTCAAATATATATTAAACCAGCTCTTAACTATGCCAAACTATTAAATAAAACCTCTTTTCTTAATCAAAACATTAAAGCCAAAATAATAAAAGACCTGAATGAAGATTTGCGGCAACTGTCAACAACTTTAAGGTTCACTATTTAAAATGCCAGATCAGAGGAGTTCCATCAAAATATATTATTTAAGTTTATTGGGTTAGTCTATCAATCATAAAACTACGTTTAAATATGTGCACTAAATAACGAATGTTGTTTAAAATTATGAAGTTTGTAAGTTATTTTTTGGAAAGCATTCTCTGATTCTATGTACTTACCTGTAAGGCATTGTGTTAAGAATATCATCAGCTTAACACAGATTTAAGTTATAAATTTTTCATTAATTTTATTCAAGATAAAATTCTAAGAAAGCTAACATTTCAGCTGAAAACCTACCTACATTGTAGTAAACATTTATCTTAAATTTAATGTCTAACACTAAGAGCATTCGCTGTTCGATCGACTCCGTATTGATTACTTTCCGGTTTTGTTTTATTTTTCGATTTGCCATTCAGCAGAAACCGAAAAACGAAAGATAAAAACGCAGCTCAGTTCGCCGAGTGCTCGCTCTTAGCCAGATTCAGAGATTGAGGGAGCTGAGCGCAATGTTTCAAGTTGCGGAGATTTTGAGATTTCGAGAGTTGAAACATTTTCCACCCATTAAGTTTTTTTTTTAAGGCGCACACCGAGAACGGCTCAGTCTCGATTGTCAGCTTGTCGTGAATGGTTTTTTAGCACACACGCGGACCGGGGACCGGAGCTAAAAGTTCGCGCTTAAGTTATTTAATAACAACAACATCGTTTGCACATACCTCAATATCGCCATATATACATATATTTCTATATATATATATATATATACGACATAACCCGCCGACCGACGTGTGTGTGTGTTGATATTCTGTGTTTGCCAGTGTGTTTTTGCCATTGTTGCCAGGGGTGGGAAGTGGGAAGTGGGAGCTGATCTGACTGATTTGTTATTTTTGCATAAATCAATTTCGAGAGCGCGCGCCATCAATTTCCGTGCGCTGATTCTGTTCTAGATGATGTCGCATGCGCGGCCGGATCGAGTTCGTGGCCTAAGTCTTTCGTTTGTGTATTGAGAGGGCAAGCATATTTCGCAAATATTCCGCACCACCTTCCATGGCTCTGACGAATTTCTCGCTGCCCTTCGGTGCCCTGGGTCAGCCGTGGGGAGTCACCCTCGCACCCCTGCATCCGATCCACCAGCTGGCCAGCAATACCAATAATCTGCTCTACTCACCGGCGGATCACCAGCAACAGACTCCGGCAGAGGCAGCTGCCGACCCCGAGTACTTTAAGAACAATCCCTATGGGCCACCCCAATCGGGAGGCTATCAATATCAAAATACAGCTGGACGCCGTAAGCAGAGTAATGCCTATTTACCGCCAACGGCTCCGAATGCGGTCCGAAATTCCGTATACCACATTCAGCAGGTGCAGCAAACGCAACAGCAACAGCACCAGCAGCAGCAGCATCATCACCAGCAGCAACAGGAAAATGAGAACAGCGTGTCCTTCCAGAGCTCCAGTTCCAGTTCGAGGTCGAGCAGCAGCACGGGCCAAAGTTCCATTCAGCTGACACAGACGCATGCGAGTGGCCGGGGTCCAGCAGAGGGTTCGTACAGCCGATATCCCGGACAGCAAGCCCAACCGCCGCAGCAGCAACCACAACAACAACAAAAGCAATATTTCAATGCCCATGGCAGTGCCAGTGCCACTTTTACTAAGAACAGCGGCAGTTTTAGTATTACCAGCTTTGGCAGCAGGCAGCAACAGCCGCAGCAGATCCCGTCTCAACAGCCAACACAGCCGCAACAACCACCTCCATCGCAGCAGCAGCAGGCACCACCACCCCCAAGGTCCAGGGCCTCCAAGCCGGAGGCTCAACCTGCCCAGACCTACGGAGTTGCTCCGCAGGATAATTACCCGGAACGAGCCCCGGGCTTTACAAGGGTTCAAGCTGGACAGGGGTCCCGGACTCAGGTGCACGCTGTGCTAGACTATGATGTGGAGGAGGGCGAAGAGGATGAAGAGGAGGAGGGTGAGGAGGAAGGACAGTACTACGAAGGACAAGGGAAAGGTGAGTGATAAAAACTATATATCAGACTTGGGTTTTCCAAAGAAAGTATTTTAGAAAAGAGATCGCTTTTTCTAAGAAACCGTTTTCTAGGAGATTGGCCAGAAAACTGTTAAATGATCCCGAAAGTTTTAAGGTGTTTTAGAATACCAAATTCGACACTAAATCACTTGCTAAATGTTAAAAGAATTATTAGCATCGTTCCGAAGTAACCAAATGCATTAACTTTTTTGTTAAGCAAGTTAAATTTTAACTTAAAAACGTAAACAGAAACCTTCTAACTAGAATGACAGTGTTTTTCAGCTGAGGCCACTTGTTTTAACTACCCCGCGTAAATGTGATTCATGAGGCTGTTAATTAAATATATTTAATCACATAATAAATTCAACATAAAATTTCAAAAGAATAAGCTTTGTAGAACGTCAGTTGAAGAGCCGGAGAATCACTTCCTCATTCACTCGAAAGAAATTCCCGAGATTCGGCCGTATCGCTCCTCTGAGTACATTCCATTTTGAGCGTTTCCTGATTCACTGCGATGGCAATCTGAACAATTAACAAATAAAAACAAATGTTGGTGGTTCAATTTGTTTGCCTTTGTGTCAAAAGGTATGTGTAGTGTGAATTTGGAGCATGTAGATCATCCAGCGAGATAAGCGAAAAGAAGAGTCCCACGTCTGCACACGATCCAAAGGCGGGCGCTGAAAGTCATGTTAATTTCTGCGGTTTCGCCTGCTACTTGTTTTTTGTGTGTCTTTCCAATTGAGAGCAACTTCTGCACAAGATCGCGGAGCAACTATAACACATAACAAATAACAAATAACAAACCTGTGGGGTAAACAAGCGCACAAGCAACTAGCGGCGACAAGGTCAAAGGTCTACAAACCGATCGGCAAGGTCACTTTCAAGACAGTAATGGCCAGTGTTTGACTTTTATAGCAACTAAAAGGCTGGCACGCATCACGATTTATGTTGTGCCGGGGTGTATCTGTATCTGTATCTTAAAAATGCCTATCTAACGGCTCGAGTATCTGTGTATCTGTATATCTGTGTATCTGATGCCCTTGTTGTCCTCTTGGAAAACTGTCAGCGGCGCTTCACTTTTTCGGATGTTTCACTTTCGGCCTAGCTTGTGGCGCCTCTTTGTTTCTGCCACTCCATCTCTCAATCTGCGAGTCGTCGAGGCATTAGCCAGCCAGCAACCTGCCAGACTTCAGACCTCAAGTACTCAACTCGGTTACGGGGCTATTATGCAAGAAGTCGCGTTTCAATCTTCCGAAATGAGGGGCAAGGGGGAGGACGAGCTCATGAACCAGCTCTCATATGAAGACGTGCGCACGCAAGACCCAAACTCAGATACTAGTTTGGGTTGCTTTTTGTCTTGGCACTCCAAGTACTCAACACTGGGTTTTCACCTTTGTGCAGGCAGAAAAAAAGATCATAAAAGAAGCGATCTGATCTTAAGTTGAGATCAGTGCACAGAAACAAAGAATCTATTTCACAACATGCCAAAGAATTTCTCATTAGCTGAAAGTGACATGATTTTGATGCACTGAGAGAAAATTTTGGGTTCTAACTAGATTACATTTTTCGGGTTTTAAGATGTTGGACCTTGAAATTAACTGCTGATTATAGATAAGGTTTTTAAGTTAGAATTCCTTTTGCAAAAACTCTATCTTAAGATGCTGTAAACTTAGCTTAAGAAAAGATAGAATTACTATTTTTAATAGTAACAGTTTTCATAAGTAGCTAAAAAATAAATTACATTTTTAAACTAAATCTTTGTTAATTTGGGAAAAATAAAAGTGATCAGGAATACTGAAATACATCGCACTGGAAGTCAGGAAGAGGATTCTATAAAAGTTTGGTTTTTTAGCTTCTAAAGAGTTTCCAAGTAAATTTCTAAATTTCATTCCAAAAACATTTGAATCCTTAAGAATAGAATTTGAAATACCTAAAAAGGGCATTTCCTACCCTTCCTTAGCCTTAGATTTGAGTACCAAATTTTTGCACTGTATGCTCCCGTTTTTCGCATTCTCCAACTCGTTTTGCATCCTGCAGTATGACTATAAAAGGGAAAGTTTCTGTCTGCGCCCAGATCCGGATCTGGGCATTACAAATGCCAGGCAGACATGAAATTTATACATGCAAGTGTCAACTGGAGTGCGATTTGTATGCAGACACCGAGTGCACTTGCAGTTGCAATGGCAGCTCAGCTTTTTTTTTGGGTTTAACCGGGCTGATTAATGCAGTGACAACGGCCACGGATACGACATTTTGGCCGTCCTTGCCATGAATCACCGCCGCAACAGCAGCAAATTTAAAAGCACTCCAATTTCCATTTCCATTTCCACTTAATTTTCGAATCCATTTACATTCCGTTCACAGATAAGCCGAATAACAATCAGATGCCCACGGTGACGCCCATCCAGGGACCGATCTACTTGAAGAACGGGACGGTGCCAGTGGTGCCGCTCTTCTCCTATCCGAAACTCAACAACGGATCGTTCCTACAGATTCCGGTAAGTGTGGGGCGGGACGGAAAGAGACGGTGGGCGGTACGAGGTTCTAAGCACGCGCGCACCTTAATTGGGGCACTGAGGGAAATATTTGGATTTTAACTTTATATTATTTTTGAAATATTTTATTTAACTTAAACACAAAATTAGGCTGATTAGTAATCGAAGTTTAAAGTTAATGTCTTTCTATGAAGTTAAATCGGTTTTCTTTAAGTTCTAGTTTTCTTGTTTTCCTGCAGTGTACTCTCGATATCGATCGAGTTTGTTCATTTGCGGAAATAACTTTGACGATTTTGTGTTTCATTTCGGTTTTATTTTTTTTTTTTTGTTTTTGTTTTTTGCGCACGAAGGTCGTGCGAGTTCGTTTCATTAAGAGGTGTGATGATGTTGATGACGACGAGAGCAGAGAGAGAGAGATTGATATTGAAAATCGGCGCATGGCGACTCGAGGAAGCTTAATCCCAAAATCCAACTCTAAACTCCACTCCCCGCCTCGCGAAAACCCCAATCGTAAAACGCTCTTTTATGTTTTATGGCTTACTTGAGTCATTTTCACACCCCGGCCATAATTTGTTATGGTCGGCAAATCAATCTGAATCTCAGTACCTCGCCTTAACTCAATTGCCTTCTTCAATGCTAAATACATATACAGATATATCTCTGGCCAATTTAGATCTGGTGGACGGCTTTGTCGGTGGCTTTGGGACTGGATGTGCGGGGCGATGTCATCAAGGGAGTGCCATGCATCAAGCGATATCATCAGCTGTTCTGCCCGACGGCCGGCAACAGTTATCCCATGTAAGTAACTATTGTTCTCTATTTTTGGGCTATATGGGAAATCCCAAATGGAAATGGTATTTCCCTTGGAATAGAATCTATCACGATTGTGACGACATTCCCTTATGGTTAAGCTCAAGGATGTTTGAGTTTCTGTGGTTTTCTTTTACTTGACTTCCTCTTCGCCAAAACTCTGATCTGAATCACATTTAATCCGGCTGACTGTTCTTAAGTGATTTAGTTAACGGTTCTCATTAGCATAGGCACGTAAAATTACTTTGAATTTCATCATTAGGCTTAAAGCTAAGCCGAAAAGTGTGAGTCTACCAAGTTTAAGCCTTTTGATCTATTCTAAAGTTCGTTAACATCAAGCCACTAAGCTAGATTTTTGAAGTTGACTAATCCATTTTCTTAATCAATTCAATCCAAAAATATTAATATTAATCACCGTAGAGTGTCTATCTGACCTTATCTTATCACCTTTACGGTCCCTCTCAAATTAATTTATTATTGCCAAATGATTATTGTTTTTCAAGATCAATCCCACTAGCAAATGACTTAATTTGGCAACTTATTTTAGCGGAAGAGTTTCTCTTAAACATTATATCGTCTCATTATAAGAGAACTATAAAAATCTATAAGAAATAATTTATATTAACTTTTCTTCTCCCCTAACTTCTAGTGACAAGATCGAACGTTTCATAGACGACAACAAGGCTCTGATGCGACGGATGTATGGAGACTTTGAGATGAACATGGAGGGTCCTGGCGGAGGAGGCGGACGCCAGCAGGCCAAGGTACGAAAGCGTCGTTTCATAGACGAGCCGGATATATTCATACCGCCAGGAGCATTTGCTGCCAATGCTGGCGAGACCGTCGAAGCCGGAGATAGTTATTTTGGCCAACTGCGGAATAAGCGCCAGGCTGCCGCCGGAGGAAGTCGAAATAGAGGCGGATCTGCTGGCGGTAGTAGCAATGGGAAACCTAATGCCAATAGGCCACCGGGAAATGGAAATAGTAATTCGGGAACTGGAAGACTTGATGCCTGCGAGTCGAAGATAGAAATTGTCACACCCTATTGGGCATCGAACTCGGCGGGAAAGATCAGGGCCATTGTGAATACCCAACATTTCGAACAGGCCATCCATCAAGAGGTCTGCAGGTTAGTAAGATTATAATTTGAAAAATTAAATCAGAATTATATAAACAAATATTATTTTCTAGTAATACCCAAACTCCGAGATGCGAGGGCGAATGTGGATGCGAGCAGAAGTACAAATGGCATCGCCTGCTGGCCTATGATCCCGACAACGATTGCAAGGGCATTTTTATGGATTGGTTCCTGTTTCCTTCGTGCTGTGTCTGTAGATGTAATCCCTAGATCACCTGACTCTGAGCAAATAATAATAAAATACGATTGATAAATGTAATTGAGACAAGTAATTGTAGGTAGAATGCCACTGAATGTATTTTAGTTGTTGTTAAGTAGACCTTACGTAAGCCCTAATCGGTAGCTCTAGTTAAGATCGCTTCCACATATAGTTAAGGTGTTATACGAGCCATATGTATATCTCTCCACTTTCCCTCCTTCTTCCCCTTCCATCGACATGCGATTAAACTCAACCTCCATTTTTTTGTTGTACGGTAATTGTAAACGTAATTGTAAAACGATTCAAGTGAATAAAGTCTATGCAAATATTATATACGAAATTTGGGGTTCGAATCACTGTCTTATATCATACCAATTAGCACGTTGCGAACAGCTTAGAATACCACGAATGAAATTCAGATACTAGCTTCAGGGCTTAAATAATAGAAATGCTAAAGCAAAGCATATGTATAAATATCTTCTAATAGTTTGATTTTCTCTTTTATGGAAGAAACAGCATCTATCCAGGCTTTCTTTTGACTCATTCGGAAAACTAAAACTAAAACAAAAACAAGATCGACCGAATAGTATAAAATCCTTTGCTTAAATTGTATTTTATTACTAAACATTGTTAGGAGGCTTTCCTCTGCTTTCTTATTAGTTAATAAGTTTATCGAAAAGTAAAGACAAGGAAAGTGAAAGTTCTAATTTTGCTTGAAAATGTAGTCACTTATTTATTGTGAAATACAAAAATAGGTAAAAAATTATATAAATCGCAAAATGTATAGTGTTGCGGGGAACTCATTTTAGTTCCATGATTTATTTGATTGCCATATGACCGAAGGGGAAACCCCTCAACAATTATTGACGTTTTAATTAATTTCAACTGTGAAGTTGCTAAAATTAAAATGATTTAGTTAACCCTCAGTGAAAAAATGAAAAATAAAAAAATTGTTTTGCATCGGCCGGGAATCGAACCCGGGCCGCCCGCGTGGCAGGCGAGCATTCTACCACTGAACCACCGATGCTTGTGACTAACGTCGAACGTAAAGTAATCATAAGCTAAGTGAAATGACGTATTCAAACGTAAAGTACAGAAGATAAAGTACCACATAAGCAGCGCCACCTATTTTTAAAGTTACTTTCAATTACGTATACCATATAATACCAAAGGCGTTAAGGAGGTGGTTGTTTCGGAGGTAGTCCTGGAAGATTTCGATGGGTAGCGAAGAATAGATCAGATCCGCGAGTGGTGGTGTATGGCTTTTAAGCTAATTACTCAAACGGCATTAACTTAAATTACATCGACTTGACCTGTATATATTTATGGGCTTCAAAAAATAAATATTACTGCTTCACCAAGGAAAATAATTTTTCAAAAAGCTAAAAAACAAAAATAATAAAAAAGACGACAGGCTGTTCCGAACCCACAAATCAACGATCGGAAGACGGGTGTCTTAACCATTCGACCAAAAACTAAGCAACTCGCGCAGAGACAAAATCTAAACTAGAATATAGGAAAGTTACGTTCCAACACAACACGAAAAGGAAGAAGTGAATGTTTCATTTTTTGAGTAATTGTTTTCGTTTTTTTAATTTCATAGCATAACCAGAACGCAATGAGCATCCACAATTTTGGGCTGTTTCATAAAGCGTTTATATGCGAAGGGCCATAAATTAACCAGCAGCCGAATGGTGGGCGAAGTGTGCGTATGAATGGGCATATTGCTACTAGTATCGGGGCCGTAAAACCCTTGCCTCGAACCTCGAAACTGGGTTACTTCCCATGCTCGTCACGTATTCAATCACAGCAATGGCTACACAAAACTGCGCTATATCAAAAATTTCGGTCTATCAGTCGTGCGTGGTGTACAAATGGTCCATTTTACCGACACCACAGATATCCCAGCGGCGGAGAGGAAGACCATAACCATTGAGTGCTGGGCTCCAGTTAACGCTAACCAAAGTCATAGCTCCGGGGACTGGGACATTTATTGACGCCCGCAATGTCAACAATTGCAGCCATGACGACGGCAGTCGCAACAGCAACGCTACTAACAACAAGTTCAAGTGGGTTAATTAGGTTCTCGGATGGTGGAATACCCTGTAATCTTTACTAGTTACATTTAAAAGTATATTTTAACTTTCTTAGAACCAACTTAAAGCCTTGGAAACAAATTGTAATTGATGTAGAAAAATTTTAAAAAGAAATCTATAAAGTTAATAATAATACTATAATACTCTATAATTTTAATGGAATTTCTATTAGATTCCTTATCCGAAACCTACAGAATTCCAGTCACTTGTTCCTCCCAACACTTCCTTTTGCTGACTAAACACCCATTAACGTGATGACAAGAACAACCCACTAAAGCCAGCAGCGAGTTAACCATGAAAGTTGGCCAAGCGAAACCATTTCGCCAGATGAAGCTGGCTGTTTGGGATGCTGGGAGTACGTACTGGGCGTATACGTATTACGACGATGACGCCCGATGAGAGCAGGACAATAGAAATACGAGGCCACACACACACAGGGTCGCATACAGGCACCGCCACAACCACAGCCACAGCCGCATGTAAACGAGTGTGTGTGGTGACAATGAAATGGATAGAATGTTGTTGCTACTTTCGCTGGCTTTTCCCGACGCTGCGCGCGCACTAAAAGTGAAATGATAGGGGGGGGTGGGGGTTAAAGAAAAAAGAGCTCGGCTTCGGTGACAGGACAAACCAAAGGCTAATTCGAATTCCCCATAGGGGCGTAGCGCATTCGTTGGGCGGAATATCCGGGCCGTGGCAGAAAGCGGCGGCGTCCTGGCGTCATCTCCAAATCTCGGCCAGTGCCGCAATTTTGGCTATAAATACAAATGTCGGCACGCAGCTTGGCTTAAACTTACATTGTTATCCTAGTTCACAACATCGCTCGGGGTCTCCTTAACGCCGCCGAACAAAACACATTCGCTACGTGACGTTGTTAAGACGGGAATCCACCCACGCATCGCAGGACCACTCCACTCCGAAACTCCATCGAAGCACCACAAACTGTGAGTCACAGCGGGCTGCAGGTGCAGATGTACCAGTTGCCATCGCTTCTGGTTTCAGTGTCAGTGTCATAATCATAAATTTCGGGCATTGTGTAATCCTCTTTCGATTGGGTAAACAAACCAAGTGGCTCTGCTGCAGTTTTATTATCACTGCGCAGCCGAGAAAACGCGAATTACATTTAAATTGAAATTTTCGAAGGCGCCACTTAAAGGGAGAAATGAAATTTTAAGCTTTGCCGGAAATTTACTAAGGCAATAAAGAATAAAGTTGGGAAATCAAGTTTTACGAAAAAGACTTTTAAAGTTAAAAAAGGTTTTAGTTTCCGCCGTTGCAATATAATCTAAAGGAGAGATAAGTCTCAAACTCTCGCTTTAGCCATATTTACTTTTAATTTAACAAATGCTGTTAAATATTAACAAAGAATTATATTTTAAGCAGTTTAATTTCCAATCTGATTGCAAAACTACAATCAAACTGAACAAATTAATAACAGATTCCCATGAGATATCCACAAGAAAGCATCCATTCAAGATTTATGACTGCCTTTAATGAAATCCCAATGGATGACTCTCCTTCAGTCGTCAGAAATAATTTATCTGTTACTCGATTCCCAGCAATCTGTGAGTCTCTGACTCTGACTCTGACTCTGTGAGATGCATTTCTGGCTTGCCTTTATTCCCACTACGACCCCACCTTAAAAGCCATCACCATTGCCATGCCAATTACACATCCTGCAATTGTCTTCGTCTTTTGGCTTACATACTTCCCTCTCTCCCGCTCTTCTTGCAGCCCAGTGCCACGCCCTATTTAAGTGCAGACACCACACCAGAACGCCCCCCTACCAGGACAACAATGGGAGTCACAAGGAGGCAGGGAAGTGGAAGTGGACACAGGTGGCTCTTGGTTTGGATGACGGTGCTGCTCCTGGTCGTCCCACCGCACTTGGTCGACGGCCGTTACCTGCCGACAAGGTCGCATGGCGACGATTTGGACAAGTTGCGTGAACTGATGCTGCAGGTGAGCTTTTGTCTACACTGGGCGAAAAGTTGGGTATAGCTAAGGGTGTGGGGAGTGTTGTTATGTGGGGATTTCTCTTAACTGATTTGGGTTTACTTTTATTTATTTTTAGTTTCTTTGCTAATGAAGTTTAAAGGAGATAAAATATTAATTTGAGTGGAAAATATTACATAAAATTATAAGGAAAATATATCAGAAATGATGTATAAATTCTTAAGCTATATAAGAAAGGGCACAAAAAGTGATATTATTTTGTAATAGTTAAGTTTTGTAAGTGATGGCAAATCGTTTTCATTTCTAGTAAACCAATCAGTAATAAAAAACAAACTTTAATCCAATATAATTTTCGTTAAGTTTCTTAATTCGCTCGTATGTATGTTTTACTTTAATTACTGACTTGTCTTTATTAATAATTGTGTACATAATTACACCTAATTGGCTCACAGCATAATTAATGAAGTGTTGAATTATGCTGTTATCATTTGGCATTTATCATCAAGGCATTAATGGAGTCGCCTGGCCAAAATGATCCATTATTGACCATTTGCTCAGTGTATCTGGCTGGGTGAGTGTGTATCTTCGGCCGAGTTTTGTGCATTGGCATTTTTGGTGCGCTGTCAATATAATTAACTAAATGAAAAGAGAGCCAAAGCGTGGTATTAAGTTGCAATTATGTCGCCAATTATTGGGGTTTTATTTTCGACTTGTTTTTGTTTTCGTGCGTTTCTACCTTTTGGTTTTTTGTTTTCTTGTATTTTTGGTCACTTATGGCGTGTAGCGAAGACGAGTTGAATGGAATGGAATGGAGGTTACGTCATCGTCTCTGGGTATAAGGTTACACAGGTCCCTCGGCCACGGCCCCAATGTTTCCACCGAAGAAGATTCCTGCTAACCGCACCCCCTCTCTCTCTTTCTTTTTCTCTTTCTGGCTCCAATCTCCTGGCGCTGCGGTTTCTTGTGCGTCTGCAAACCATTTCAGAAATATTTTTACATATTTCGCAAGCGTTTCTTCTTTTTTTTTTTTTTGTTGTTGTCTTCTTGCCCCCCCATCAATGGAGCAGCAGCAGCCTGCTCGGCTACAATCGCCAACTTGGCCAACACTTGCATGCCGGGCACCTCATCTTTTGCACAATTTTTGATTCGCCGCCACCACCGCGGCAGTTTGTTGTTATTTAATGTGTTTTTTTTTCGGCACAGTTTCCTGTTCTTTTTCGCAACCAAGACGCAAAAATGCGGCTCAACTAGGAGGGTAGGAATCAAGGGGATCACAAGGGGGTCACAAGGGGATTCGGCGAGGAAGCCCCACTTAGCTGCCTGTGTGGATGTTCAGAAATCCAATGCAGCTGCACGTCTGTGAAAACTGAAAACTGAAAACTCCGGCCTACTGCAACTGTTTGTCTACCAACGAATCGAGTATCTGTAGCAAACAGTTTCAGCACTGGAACAAAATGTTCGACTACTGCGTTGGATTTGGTCAGTTAGGGCAAGTTGAGGGAATCTTATTCGAGATTCTTTCATTTTTGGAGTTCATAGTGCTATGAAAGTGCTCTATATAGCTTAAAACTTCTCTCTCTCTCTCTATAATAAGTTCTTATAAAAATGGAGATTACTTTTTCAAAGTGGAAACTGGGCTAGCATATGTCCAATCTCAAGGAAAACAAACTAATAAGATAGCCTTTGTCTTAAAAGTACAAATAATATCCACAAAAACCAATAAGTTTAACTTGATTTTTTAGCCAACATTCATTATTTTTTAAGAACTGCAATATATATTTCAAGTTTCGCATACAAAGCTTGTAGATATTTTACAAAGAGTGGCCTAAAAAATACTTAAGAACTACTTCTACGAAACAAAAATACTTTCATCCTTGACCCTAAACTTTGATAAGGAACGAATACTTTCTCGCTTATAGAAAAGCCATCAACGATTAAAATTTAATCTCGAAACAAAGGAATGTCAAGAATTTCCGGCTTGTAGGTTTCTGGGCCACATTTTTTCCCCCACTGTACTCAACTCAACCCCTTTTGCAGACTCTTTTCTGAGTCATGGTCCCTGCAAATCGATAAGTCGCTGACGTGCTGCGCAGACAAAGACCAAAGACCGAAGACCAAGAGCAGACCATGTTTGGACAAAAAAGCGAGCACAAAAATAAAGCATTTCGCAAAGAAAAAAAACACAAATACAAGAAGCAGGCAAAAGAAAAGGGAAATCAAATGTCAAATAGCAAATAATGACGGTGACGTGGTCGCATTGCCGCTGATGAAGGTTGACTTGGCTACGTCACTCGGAAGACTCAAAACTGGCGATGAGCAGGGGGGGGTGGAAAACTCAGTGGAATGCGAAATGAAAACACTTGACACACAATAATGCATTGAACCTGAGGAGTAGATGGTAGCAACAGCAGCATTAGAGACATGAGACAACATAACTTGGCCTTTAGCTTATTGCCTTCCTCGGGATGGATGTCAACAGGAAGACACACGACATCCCCCTAACCAAACCTCCTTTGGCTTTCAGACCGACCGAGAGAGAGAGATGACAATGAAGTCGGATGGTATTCCCAGAAGCAATTTGTGTTATAGAATGTGGAAAATGACAATTTCATAATGCTCTTGACTTATTAGAGATATATTGGATTATAATTGCCTCGCTCCAGGGGTGGCAGAACGGGCTACGTGGCCAAACTTTATAATTGTTTTAGGGATTTCAAACTAATTCAAGGATGAACTTGAGCTTTTGATTCAATGTTAATTTAATAAACCGACGTTGGGGGTCTTAAACATAATCCATTAAGCAGCCAATTTAATGAGCTTAGAATGATACTCAAATGGGTAGGTTAAAGTTACTTAAGGAAACTAAATTAGCTTAGCTTGTTGAGGGAATCAGAAGGGAAAGCAATTTGTGGTCAGGTAACCTTGGAATAGGTATTCAAGGAAATTGAATTTGTTTGAATTAGATTTGATTTAATGAAATATTTTACAAACATTTTGAAGGGCAGTCCATCAACAAAATACTCATCTAGAATCACTGTTTGCTTTCCACTTTTAACTTCAAATCTTGAAACCAACTTTTCCTTAACTCTCCCCTATGGAAGATTCTCTTGATACTTCTTTATTACCATACCTATAACTTTTTCCTCCCTTATCACAACATTATGTCCAATTGATGGCAATTATTTTCAACATTCTTTTTGCCACTTGCCACAAATGTCTTAGCCGACAAATCCCACCACTTATCAAGTGGCCCATACCATAAAGCTGGAAAGGCCGAACCCAGCGAATTCCCCCTTTCGTATAAAACTCAAACCAAACGCAGCTGTTTATTTATAAAGTATCTGCCAACTCCCTTTCCAATTGCCAAAACGAAATCCTGGCCAGAAGAGCGAAAGAGATCGATAAATGAAAATGGACAGAGATGGCTGGAGAAGGGAGAGGGAAGCCAAACAAAATCACATAACTTTTCACTTAACGACAACTCTCAAATTAAACTGTCCGAAGAGGCCTTAATGAAAAGCAGGGAGATGAAGCCCAGCTGACACACCAGCACCCTCCGTCACCCCTGGAAAACTCACCCTCTTCAACTCCCCTCCCCCTGGGCGACAACCAGATGCAATGCGATAACAATCCCAGAGTCATCATCGCTTCCCTGTAGACCTCTGGTCTCCATTAATGGCATTTAAGTCAAGGAAAGCGAAAGGAGGCAAATATTGCAAGTTGGCCGAAAATAGAAAACATTTTAACCTTTTTTTTTTGTTTTTTTGTTTGCTTCTTCAAAATTAGCAATAAAATAATTACTTGGCGCGAAATTGTTTTAGGTTTTTCGCTTCATTTGTGGTTGTTTGTGTTTGTTCACACATCACCAGCCAGAGACTTGGCCAAAAACAGAAGACAAAAGATCAGCTCCAGAGGGGCCAAGGCGGGTGGAGGGATTACAGTGGTAGCCAGAAAAGAGGTTGGCGGCTGATAATTACACGACAATACCCCCCATTAACACATTTTCAGCTCATCAGTGCTCACAGCAGCAGCAGCAGCAGCAACGTTGAGGGGCCAAAAGTTGGCAGCCAAGTCAAGAGGCTGCGAGACAGGTTAACCCATTTTGGTTGCCAGCTCAACTTGATCGATAGATTCGCCACATTTTTCACATATTTTTGTTACCTTAATTGGGTAAATCTAAAAAGAAGTTAACACATAAGAAATACCAATAAAAAGCCTATTAAAGTTAAGATTTAGTCAATCATTAATCATTAGTGAATCTTTTTGTTTTTAAATTATTTATGAAGGCTAGTAAAGGCAAGCTTATAGTATCATATATTGCAAATTAATATATTAAAAACATTTAACTAACTTTACAAGTTAGCCACCAATGGGTTAAGCCTTGCCAACAACAGAAGCTGGCAGCCTCGTCGTTACAGATAAAGTTCATTCGATTTAATGATGCGCCAAAAAGCAAAAATTAAAATTTAAAAAAAATACAAAAAAGAAGAAGAAGAGATAACTAAAAATCTGTGACGAACTTCCCACGTTGGATAAATAAGATTTCGAAAAGATTTTTGAAATAACTCACTCCATCACTCTGACAAGGCGGCGGGGGGCCGAATCGTGTTAACAACAGCAACTATACGATAATTATAACAACCATAACAGCAGCTCGGAGTTTAAGTCTTTCTCTGCCCCGTCTTGCGTTTTGTGTTTGCAGATTTTGGAGTTGAGCAATGAGGACCCACAGCAGCAGCAGCAGCAGCAACACCCACAGCTGCGTCTCCGCAATGAGGCCACCAGCAGCAACAGCAACAGCAACAACAATCCACGCGTGTCCAACGGCAACTCCAATGCCGCCTGGCTGCAGAAACTGAGTGCCATGGGTGCCCTGGATGAGTTGGGCGGTGATGGAGTCCGATTTGGACCCAACTATGGACGTTACTAAGCCATCTGAGCCGAGGACACCTGACGACGACAACAACAACAACAACGACGACGACAAGGGAAATGGAAACTGGGGGTTGGGCGGGAACCATGTTGTGAATGAAAATGTTTTGTTTGGGACCGAAAAAAGGGATAGTGTAGTGTCGGAAATGTTCACAGGATTAAAATCCAATTGGAACGAAAGCAAAGTGCGTGAAAATGGACAAATAAATGGGGCAAAGGATTCTCGTGGAAATCGTGTCCGAAGAGGCCTTTGAAGTACGTACTTTGAATGAGCTTCTGCCAGTTGGGAATGTAAAAGAGGACACTCTGTAAAATCACTTAGACCTTTCTTTCTATTAAATTGAAGTTTTTGCAACCTTTTTTAATCCTTTCATATGCGAAAGTTAACTCTGAATTTGGCTTAAATTAATTAAATTAATGGAAAATAACTTAAATCATATGTCTTGCTAAGTTAAAATCAAACTAAAATCCATTTTAAAGCTTTTAAATTAACCTAAAAATGTGTATAAAAAAACAGATACTTACAGGTTTTTATACAAGTTCCATTTCCAACATGGTTTTCCCTGTACCCATTAAAGATTTACAAAAAAATACAAACTGAGTAAAATCTCAGATAATAAACTGAAAACTTGAAAGGACAAAGACAGTTCCTATGCTAGAACAATAATTTTTAAAATCCTTTGGGTAAACCCGATGGCCATCAATGTACCTATATGTATGTACCTATGTGTTGTAGAGCAACCCCGTCCCCTATGAAAAACCAAAAAAAAAAACACACAGAAAAACCTCTGAAAATGTAGCCCTTTTAATGGCGTAGACTAAGTGCGGATTTTCAACTTCTTTTTGCGCGGCCAAAGAAGAGATAAAATTGAAATTACCATTAAATTGTAAATATTTTAGCCCCGAAAACCGCTTCTCGCACTCCCGCCCCACGAAATAACAATAATAACTGGAGTTTTAATGGGCCCCCAAGGCTGGCCGGGGCATATGAAGATATATAGTAAATGTATTGTGTATTTATAAAATTATACTACTCCCAACTAACCTCCACTAGATGGCCTCCGCTGGAAGATGGGCCCAAGTTAAATGCGTTTTCGGCTGCGACTTTATGGCCAACAACATGTCGAGGGAGATATATACCTATATATATACACTATTAAATTCGTAACTATATATATATATATATACTTATAAATGTACATTTAATTGTTGTTAACTTACGTTTTATCGTTATTACTTATGATTCGCCGCCGAAGCAAAAATAAACGAAATCATTTTCAATGCAAGATCTGAAGCCTCTTTTAACTAGATCTCTGTCCAGCGTTATAGATACAGTCAAGCCTGTTATGCAATGCACCTGTGAGTGTGTAGAGAGTAACGTAAGTTTACAACATACGGTCTCAGATTCATCTTCATCTTTAGGCTCAAATACTCAAATGTACATTTCACATCCATCTGCTTGAGGGCGCCGCCAGCCCAAAAGATTCCCATCTATCTCAATTTACTTTCTCGTGCTTCAAGTGCAACACTCTCGACAAATTAAACGCCGCAAAGTGGCACCCACCAGAAAGACACATCATATCTCATCTAACCAAAAAAACCCAATCCAATACTATACATCATTTTCGAACCCATTCCCAATGTCAGTTCGAACCCGTTAAGTACTTTTTACCCGGCCAAGTGCCGTTTCTCGTTTTGTAAACGAAATTATAATTGTTTTTGTTTCTGTTTCTTTTTTTTTTTATGTAAATATAATATCATTTAAATGGTTCCGTCTGCCTTTGTTTTTCGCCTGTTACATAAAGTCACAAGAGATACAATATAATAATTAGTATCTGTGCATGCCGAGGTGTAGATGGCAGCGAGTTGGTAGCTGGTGGTGGGCCATTTTCGGGGAACTGTGTTACTCGGTTGAGGCCATGGAGCCATGGAGCCATAGAGCCATAGAGAAAGCCGAAAGATGAATGCGACGCTGATTATATGCCTCAGAATCGCTGTGGCATAGCGAATTCATTAAGATCTGGCAATGTGCCATGCATAATTCGCATAATGGCCAGCAGAATGTATCTCTCAGATGGTAGCTCATCCCAGAATGCATAATGTATCTGCGGGATTTCAGTTGGTTGAATTCAGCGAATGATATATAAGGTTGTCAAAAAAGTCTTGCGGTATTTTCGCTAGGTGGCGTAGTTCTTGGTTTATTCGTCGCATCGGGTCACATACTAAACCTTTTTGGAAAGCTCATTTCACGCGCTAAAACGTGTTTGATTGATTGTCTTTTCGTTTTAATCGTTCGTGGGTTATAGCGTCGCAATCATGGAGCAAAATAAAGAGAAAATACGGCATATTTTACAGTACTACTACGATAAAGGCAAACATGCATCTCAAGCCGCCAATGTGCAGTTTATGGACCCGATACAGTTTCCATTTCCACCGCACAACGATCAACGGTATCAACGTTTTCGTTCTGGTGTAGAAGTGGTCGAAGATGCGCCACGCTCCGAGTTTTTTGCCAATAGGCAAGCGAGCTTCTATGAGAGGGGCATTCTGAAGTTGGCATCTCGTTGGGAACGCGTCGTCGAACAAAACAGCGCATATTTGACTTGAATGGCAATATTGTAACCAATTTTATACCGTAAGACTTTTTTGAAAACCTAATATGAGACTTTTCAGCCTCCTCTTGATGCCTGAAAAACTACTAATTTTGTCTGCTTAACAATATTTCCTCATTATTACCTATTAAGTATGTTATTTACAATATTATTAATCTAAAATAATACAATTACAACCCATAAAAATTATTAATAAATCAGTCAAAAGTAACCTAACCTAACCAACCTAACATTTGGACACCTTTAATGTCAAATTAATTTTATTTCCTAATAAAAAACTAATTTTATGTCTACCTCAGACTGACAGACCACTCGTTTTTATACCCCGTTACTCGTAGAGTAAAAGGGTATACTAGATTCGTTGAAAAGTATGTAACAGATAGAAGGAAGCTTTTGCGACCCTATAAAGTATATATATTCTTGATCAGGATCAATAGCGAAGCCGTCCGTCCGTCCGTCCGTCCGTATGAACGCTGAGATCTCAGGAACTATAGCAGATACAAAGTTGAGATTAAGCATGAAGATTCTTGAGGTCCCGGGACAGCGCAAGTTTATTACAGCATCCTGACACGCCCACTCTAACGCCCACAAATCGCAAAAAACTAAAATTGCTGAAATCTCAGGAACTTTGCAGTTAGAAAGTTGAAATTCAAAATTATAATCTTTAATTGGCAGCGCATCTTATAGTGGTACTACTATCCGGCACACCCACCCATACGCCCACAAGGCTCAAAAGACGGTTTTCGGATTTTCTAGAAAAGCTGATATCTCGGTAACTATAAAAGATAGAAAGTTCGGATTCAGCATGTAGGGTTTTATTATGCTCCCAATGCGAATTGTTTTTTCGATCAAGCCACGCCCACTCTAACGCCCACAAACCTGAACAACCAAAAATGCAAAAATCTCAAAAACTATAAGAGCTACATAATTTTGTTTAGGATCACGTATTTAGGATATGCCTTTGCAACTTTCCACGAAGTTGCATCCGGCCACGCCTACTCTGACGCCCACAAACCGCGGAAAACTGTGGCGTCTATAATATTATTATGAATGCCTTCGTTTGACCTTGTATAACTTATTTTTGTTAATATCTATCGATTTACCAAAGATTTTTCAAATCGGAACATTATTTCGCTATTTATGAAGAAATTAAGGTTATAAGGCCTTACATGGGCAGTGACGTCACTATAAGCATACTCAACAAGCTTCCTCTGAAAATAGTTGGCGCCTTGTGAATTTCCACTAGCAAAATAATATTTTAAAATTTTGTAAAACAGTAACGGGTATCTTATGGTCGCGGCACTCGACTATAGCGTTTCCTCTTGTTTAATGATAAAATTAACAACAAGCCATTATTATTTTTACAATTCAATTATTCGATTGGTCTACCAGCCTACCTGTTACATGTTTTCCAGCTGAGAAAACCATTAAATTTTCTTTAATGCCTCAAATGGCTTTATGCAACATCAATAAAATTGATATATTTATTTTTGGTTTAGTTTAAATTTAAGTTAATCTTTACACTTTGTAAGATTTTGCTTCTGAGCTCCCCTTAGTTTCCACTGATAAAGATAATAGGTCAAGGGTCCCCTAGGGGAAAGCCCGTTTGATTGGCCTAGCCGTCCGAGAGTAACCACAGATGAACCTGCACCTGTTCCACCTTCGTGGATTCAGCATAATTCACCGCAGCCATGATGATTACCATGACGATGATGGTTTTGAATGTGAAAGATGAGCGTGGAAAATTAAGGAAATGCAATCCGTGGAGAGGGAGGTGGGGCTGCAAGCAAGTGCAGTCGCCGAAGATGAACAACAAAATCAACACAACCTGCCATTTGGCTAACGGCATTATAAATGATGCCATCGAGGAAAAGTGACAGTCTGCGCTGGCTGTGACTCTCCAGTTGAATCTCTCAACTGTTGCAGGTTGCAGTTGCAACATGGAATGGTAGGGGCCTGCTGCTGCTGCCTCTGGCTGCATGGTGTGTCGTCCTCTGTTTGGCGCCACTGGCCGCTAGCCTGATTATGCCATTTCATCAAATTCCGGCAGCAATTGAGCAGGAGTGGCCACAAAATGCGACCAAGGATCGATGCAAAAATGCTGATTGCCATTTATAGATTATGTGCATAGATCGGGTAAAAAGCTGGATATAGCTTTGGGGGTTATGAGCCATGGAAAAGTTGCAAAACATTTTGCCAATCATAATTTTTTCATCTAATCTTCTCTAACGCAAATTGTCATGGCCGGGGCGTAAATTATTAAATAAAACAAAAACAACAAAAAACAGGGAAAAAACAAATTGAAGAAATTCAAAATATTGCAACAAAAACAGAAAATATAAAAAGAGGAGAAAAATTAAATAAAATGCTCAAGCAGATGGGGCGACCCAACAAGAGCGTGAAGCTCATTATGAAGCTTCGTGGCCAAAACGCGGACAGCAATTACAACAGCAACAAAGCCAGTAAAAACAATAACAGTAACAATGATAATAATAATAACAACAAGCCAAGCCATGCCAAGCCAAGACAAGACAAGGCAATCCAAACCGAAAGACAGAAAGAAGCTGGCTAACAAAAGGCCGAAAGAGCATGAAGAAATGAAATAAAACCAACACCAGATTCAGTCCCACTCCAGAGCACAAAGAGCTATGCCCCCACACCCCCCAACCCATTTCATCCCATTGCAATCCCAAACCATTCTCCGAATCTCTGGCTAAATGGGAGTGAATCCACATCACATCCCCATCCCCATCCACATCCATTGAAATTGAAAGTGAATCGTGCCACACGATCCGATCCGATACGATCTTATTCAGAGTCCATAGTTGGTTACGAGTCCACTGCGATTGGATCCTCCAAATGACCAAAATAACCACATATATATATATATATTTTTATAAAAATATATATAACTAGAAAAACAAAAATGAGGAAAGCAGTAAAGACCTTGTTTTTTTGGTATTTTCCATTGCGAAAGAGAAATACTCTTAAGGGAAATAAATTGATTAGTTTTATCAATGATTATCTATATTGTAGGACGATGCTTGGTATCGTCTTTATCCATAATCTTCTTAAGGTTGAAATTGATAGCCAGGCCCTTCTAGGCCGCTTGAATATCCATGTACCTCTTAGGATTTCTAAAAACTATATTCCTCTATCTTTAGAGCATTGTAGTTCGAACTTTGCCCAACTACAATGATCTTTATAACATTACTTCTAACTCTTCTACTAACACTTTGAAAGTTTCGATTCTAATCCATTTAGCATAAAACTAACTTTCCTCGTATCTTTACTAATCCACTCGGAAATATCCCCGTGTTCCGAGCCGTACGTCAGACGGCAGCGCCCCTCGGTCGGTTGGGCGGGAGGTGGGTTGCACATCAAGCTACGGGAGTCAAAATACAGGGAATAATAAGCCACCAAATCTAAAACTGCTTTTAATAAACTGAAAATCAATATCAAAAAACTTGTATATTTTTAGAAATAACTTTAAAGGTTTAACATACCTTACCTTAACTTATCTTTTATGTCTTAGAAAACATAATTTATTGACAAGAACCAAGTTCTTTTGGGGGATATAATCTTCAGGGTAAAGATACTTCCAAAATATTTTCTCATATTTAATAAGATCATCAGCTTTTCTGTTGTATTTCTTCAAAACACTATATCCGGCTGATTATTTCCAGTTTAGGGCCTACCATAAAACCGTTTTATTTCCTTCCCTTGAAAATCCCATAATTGGGCCCCTAAAAAAATTAAACTTCTTTATAAACCAGCTGCCGCTACCATATTTGATGGCCTTCCCGCCTGCAGTTTAATTGCAAATACAATGTACCCTTCAAGTTCCTTATTTTCCCCTTGAAAATAATCCTAGTTGCCCCGAGAAAAACAAAAATTCCGCAACCACAAACATAAAAACCACGAGGAGAAGTTGTTAATCGAAGGAGGAAAACCGAAAAAAAGCGGACTTTGCTGTCTGCGTCGCGGCCAGGAGCTGCATCTTGGGAGCAGCTCCAGCAGATCATGGAGACTGGCCAACTGCGGTTGCTCATTGGACTTGGCTTAAACATTTCAATTTCTTCATGGCTATATGCCGCGCTCTTTGCCAACTGCTCAGTTGCCGTCGACCGAGGCAGCGACTGAAGCGGCAACAGCAGCAGCAGCAGCAGCAGCGGCAGCAGAAGCAGCGCTCTTGGTCGTCGTCTTGAATTTTACTTAATTTTTATTTCACGCGCTGCGCCGCTATAAAAGAAACTGCAACAATCGTTGTGGCATGCAGTAAGAGGTTCCGCGTCGAAGCAGCAGCACAGTAACCATCAGTGACTAGTTACCACCTGGAGCAGTTACTAAACCCGAAACGGATATAGCCGAAAAAAATCATTAAAAACTCACCCGAATATGCAGTCCAGTTGTGTGGTATGATTATCATCATCATGTGACCAATATAGTTTCCGTGACTTAACTGGTGTTCTCCAACCCGTTCTCGTCCGCAGTTAGTGGTCGTCTTAGCCTTGGCTGGCCTGGTGGCCGCTCGTCCCGAGCCACCGCGTGATTCGTACAGTGCGCCCCCCTCCAGCAGCTATCAGCCTAGTGGGCCCAGCGGAGGCTACGGCGCCCCAGCGCCCCAGTACGGTCCACCCCAGCAGCCGCCGGTGGTCCATAAGCATGTCTACGTCCATGTGCCACCACCAGAGCCGGAGTACCAGGCACCCAGGTGAGCCTAATGTTTAGAAATATCTTAGCCAATAGTTAAAGTACCCTTCGGCAGCTCCTCAGCTATCTTAAAGATCTTAGCTATATAATCCGAGTATCTACCAAACAACTGACTTCCAAAGTCCATAAACCTTTGGTTCGACTTTAGTTTGTTATATCTTTTAAATCATCTTCCGGTTATATACCAATTTATTATGATTTTAACCCTTTAATCTGAGGTATTTCATGGACATTGATCCTTAAGGTTTACGATAATATCAGAATTTAAATAAGGCGCAGGCAAGAGCTTAACTTTGCAGCTGTTTTAAAAGCCAAATTGATCTTTGGGTGATGAATGCTGTTTATTAAAACAATAAGTAGTAGTTACAGGTTACAGGTACAGTACATTCTGAAGGTAAAGTCCAAGCCGATTAATAAAGAGTTATAGTATATATTCTTAACAACAAGGATTATTGCAGATAACTTAGGCAGACCTTGCACACTTTGTAAGGTACTTAATAAACCCATTCTTGAGCTTTTCTTTTTATTATTATTTCAAGGCTGAAATTAGTAAATTTAAATACGAAATATTTAAGCTTTGTGTAACAGAAACTTTGACCATATTTATTCGCTGTAAAGTTTGTAAAAGGTAGAATACGTACCTTGGTACCTATTAGGTAGGTATTCTTGTTGAAGATTACTATAGACTAGAGCGGTAGTCTGTGTATCCATATCTGTCTGCCCGTATAAACGCGGAGATCTCGGAAACTATAAAAGCTTAAAAGTTTGGGTTAAACATTTAGATTCTAGAAAAACCTTCGCTGAACACGACCACAAACCAGAAAACTGCAGCATCCTTAATATCAATGTTAAAGGCTTGGCTTGACTTTAAATATTTAAAACTTTCTAATCAGAATGAATATATATTTACAAGTTATAAAGAATTTCAAATTATAATGACAAAGCCCTCAGCTCGAAGGGATGCCTGCTATGCTTTCAGCAACAGATGGCGCCAGTATAGCCTAAGGGAAGATAGGAAATAGATTTCAGATTTCCACTGAGAGGCCACAGAGAAACTGCACATCAAAATCAGTTAAAACTATTCACACCCGCGCCCCTTGCCCTTGTTTTTTCATTCATCTCGCGTGATGGAGAGCAATGATTACAAACGATCTCGCTTTATTTGTCTTGTTCCACTTAAGATTGGCAAAAAAACAAAAAAAAATGAGGGGAAAAGACATTGTTGTGTTATGAGTATATAATCCACGGCACTTATGCAGATTCTCTCACAATTCATCGCCGTAAACCAACTAGTGCCGCCAACTCCCAACGATAATAAGTAGACAAATGTTGCAAGACCCAACGCCAATCATCTAATCCAGCTCAGGGCCCTTTTCCACAGCTGTTGCCTCATTTCCAGGGTATTTAGAGGGTCGCTTTTCAAGGAGGAAAATTATTTAATACCCAAGAAAACGAAAGCCATCACATCAACACTTCTCTCTCTCTCTCTCGTTTCACTGATTCAAACCTTTTCTGTCGTCGTCGTCTTCTCTATGTTTTCAATTGGAGTTGGAAGCAATGTTAATTACCTCAGGTGGGGAATGATATGGCTTTGCAGATCGCCAAACCGTGACTAAAATGTTACCTAAGCACACCCGTATATAGTAAATACATATATATATCAGTAGCATTTCCAAGCTAATTATCAGACGCAGAGGGACAGGAACACGATTACCATAGGGGAGCTTTATGTAAACCCTCGTCTCGGAGCGGTTGTTGTGACAGTCGTTGTCATCATTACAATAGTCATCATCTCTCCATCCGATTAGCAAAACCGACAAGCAGCTGCAGCTGCATGGCCATTTTCGGGAGGTCAGCATTTATGAGCATGCAATTTGCATACTCCTCGAAGAGAAACTCCAGTCTCCAGCTTCCTTCCCATTTCATTTTTGTTCATGGGGAAAACCATGATAGCCTTGCCTTATACTCTTTAAAAAATTTATATCCGGTATGTAAATTGGCATTTACATAAAGCTGAAAGTTCATTTAACTTATAGAACCCTTGTTTTCCCCTTAAAAATATTTAAATTTCAAATATTCTAATTTTTCCTAGGAAACCCCTGTACGTGCCTCCTCCCCAGAAGCACTACAAGATCGTGTTCATCAAGGCGCCATCGCCACCTGCCCCCACTGCACCTGTAATCCCTCAGTTCCCGCAAAACGAGGAAAAGACTCTGGTGTACGTGCTGGTCAAGAAGCCAGAGGAGCAGCCCGAGATCATTATCCCGACGCCAGCTCCCACCCAGCCCAGCAAGCCGGAGGTGTACTTCATTCGCTACAAGACCCAGAAGGAGGAGACTGGTCCCTATCCCAACAGTGTGGCGCCACCAGCACCCGAGTATGGAGCACCAGCTGCCCCGCCCGCACCCTCTGCTCCGAGCAGCTCGTATGGAGCACCTTCCCACTAATCGAACCAGCACATCCATACCAATCCGAATTCCGATTTGCGAATCTCAACCCAACTCATGGCAAACTGCATATCTTATGTGTATTATTTTTTCTTATCTTTCAACGACTTTAACGCGTGACAAAGTTTACCTAGTTAACGAGAACCCTCATCTGATCCCCGTCATATCTTCATGAATATTACCCTCATTGATAAGGTAATTCTGACCTCTGAAGTTGTTTCTAGCTATTGTACGAGATGTATGTTTTCCATCTAGGCTGTTTGTTTCAAATTGTTTGTTTAGTCTTAAGTTTAGGTGTTTAAGCGAACGATGCGTTATACACTGATACACACAAAACACTCGATACATTTAGCCTTAGTTGTCGATAGAGATATCGATGCCGATACCGATAAACGATATATGATACATGATACATGATTTTCATCGCAAATGCATTTCTCTTTTCACGATTGTTAATAGAGATTGTGCAAACCAATCGAAAAGCAACAAAAAAAAATGATACTCAAGTATGTACATATGTGTTAGAAATCAAAACATCAATGGCTAAATAAAAGTTTAACGAATTATCAGTAGAAAATTGGTTATTATTTCTCATTATTATCTTGCATTAGTTTTTTAAAAAACATTCAACTAATAGATTATCGATATCTCTCTCCTTACAGAAGTACGAAATGGGCAGGATTAGTTTACCAATTCCTGCCAGTCTTGTACCTACGATTCCATGCCATCAATCCATATCTTAAATGAGAATAAGTAACCTACATCGAGTCTACTTACCAAACCCTACAACTCTTTCAATTCCAATCCCACAGCCACCAGCACCCCTCGTATTCTTTGTATAATTAATGTTGCAATGTTTTAGATAAAGTTTATATATTTTATCAAGATATTTATTAAGAGCTGAAAAAATGAAATTACAAAAGACATTTTAAAGTTGCCTTAAGCCCTTTAGTTTAAGCTTTAAGCATTACAAAATATTTAAACTAATATCGGTCATCAGCCTGGCAAATGAAATAATAGTCAAATTGCAACTATAAAGCGACATGCCGAGAATTATACACACCAGCGCAGTGCTGATATACGGAAATGGGATAGGGGTTCACGCGGTAGCCATTTAAAGGTAAGGAGCTCTTTTTCCGGAAGGCCCAGTTATGAAAACGCCCTTTTCGTCAATATCATTTATGCCGAGGAAATATAACTGAGATTTATCCAGTTTTGAATTAAGTTCTTCAAATTCTTCTGCACTGAAAAATGCGGCTAGGTAACCTCCCAAAAATTCACATTTGCGCGCAGCATTGGTCCAGTTTAATTTTTCATTATGCTCAATGTAGAAATATTTGGATCCGATTCTCTCAAATTTCTTCCATTTTTCCACTTCTTCGTAACTCAACTTATTTTCAATTTTCTGTAGTGGAGTCTCCACTTGCTTGCTTTCCATTCTAACTAGTCTCTCTTCAATGCTCTTCAATGATTTCTCCAAATTTTCTAGTGTTACGTTCAGCTTAGCATTGTCGCAGGATTGATGCGAAGGATGCTCCAATAGGTACTCCGAATGAGTAATATCCTTGGTTTCTGACAGCGATACGTTTATAATAATTCCGAATAAAAAAATGCTTATAAACTTTAACATGATTAAAAAGCTTAACTGCTCCCGACAAAAGTTGAAGAAACACTGAATTTTTATAAATTTGGTGACTTGCCAAGATGCCGAATTTCTGTTGATAAGCTAAAAATAATCAAAAATATTTGAGCATAAAATTGTAATCAGACTTAGGTTGACTAGGGTAAGGAAGTGATGATAAATAAATTTAAGTATTATCAAGAAGAAACGCTATAGTCGAGTGCAGCGACTATAAAGATACCCTCTAACCTAATTTTCTTAAAAAACAGCGAAAAAGTTTTCCGATTTGAAAAATCTTTGGTAAATCCATAGATATTGTCAAGGAACTTAAAAAACCTTCATGCGGAATCTCAGCTTTGTATCTCTTATAGCTTCTGCGATCTCAGCGTTTATACGGACAGACGGACGGATGGACGGACAGACGGACATGGCAATCGACTTGGCTATAGATCCTGATCAAGAATATAGGCCTTTATAGGGTCGGAAACACTTCCTTCTACTTGTTATATGCTTTTCACCATACATACAGCCACCATATTCTTCAAATTACTTATTTTTCTGAAAAAATTCAAATTTTATTAGACATATTATATTAAAAGTCGAAAAACTCAAATTACAAAAAGTATTTTAAGCTGGCACAAGCCCCAAGTAGCTCTGTCTGCACCTTCCTGTTGCTCTTCTTTATATTTAAACAAAATTTAAACATCCGCCTGGCAGATGAAACGAAGCTCTGCGGAGCAATTGAACAGATACATGACAGTCTCATACACAGAAACGCAATGGTGACGTTCGGTGTTAGATACGGGCTCACCCGGTTCCCATTTAAGGAAAGGAGCTCATTTTCCGGAGGATCCAGACATGAAAACACCCTTTTCGTCCATGTCATTTATGCCGAGGAAATAGTCAACAGATTCATTCAGTCTGGAATTAAGTTCTTCAAATTCTTCTGCACTGAAAAATGCGGCTAGGTATCCTCCCATAAGTTCACATTTGTGCGCAGCATTGGTCCAATTTAATTTTGCATTATGCTCAATGTAGAAATATCTAGATCCTATTTGCTCGAACTTTGGTGTTGCTCTTTTCATTTTTTCAACTGGCATCTTGATGTCAAGAAGTGTTTTCTGCAGATCTGACAGTTGTTCCTCCACTGTGGCTAGCTTACTTTCCATTCTAGCCAGGCTGCCATCGATGCTCTCCGAAATCACCTTCTTCCAGGATTCCTTTAGGGATGCTTGCTGACCTTCAATCTGAATCTGAATTGCAGACTGCTGGATCAATAATCTTTCCAATTTTTCTAGTGTTACGTTCAGCTTAACATTGTCGCAAGATTGATGCGAAGGATGCTCCAATAGGTACTCCGAATCAGTAATATCCTTGGATTCTGACAGCGAAACATTTGTAATAGTTCCGAATAAAAAAATGCATATAAACTTTAACATGTTTTAACAATGTTTTACTTCTCCCGACAAAAGTTTACAAAACACTATATTTTTATAACTTTCTTGACTTCCCAAGAAGCTGCAGTACTGTTGATAAGCTCGAAGTATTTAAAAATAAATTATTGGAAAATCCAATCAGCATGGAAACGGGCATGATAGCATTTTATTTTAAGTTTATAGCTTAGAAGCAATGCAATATACATGATATAAAATATTATAATTACTGAACAGTGCACGAAATGATTGATGACGGCTTAGATTGAATATACATCTATGCTAGTTAATAGGCTGGATATTTGTTGTTGACCAAAACGGCAAGTTAAATGTTAGTCATGCTTAATACACGACATGATTTTGTCAAAAAATGAATTCCACGATTCCTTCCAGAGCATAATCTGAATTATATATACTTCAATAATATATATTTGAACGAAATTTAGGCGTCAGCCTGGCAAATGAAATTACGGATCAAATTGCAATTGTCAAGCAACATGCCACCCTCATGCACAGAAGCACAATGTTGTTCTTGGTTTTGGGACACGGGTTCCCCAGGTTTCCATTTAAAGAAAGGAGCTCGTTTTCCGGTAGGCCCAGTTATGAAAACGCCCATTTCGTCAATATCATTTATGCCGAGGAAATACGGAATAGATGGATTCAGTCTTAAATTAAGTTCTATAAATTCCTTTTCACTGAAATTGTAGGCTAAGTAACCGCCCATAAGTTCACATTTGCGGGAAGCACTGGCCCACTTTAATTTATCATTATGCTCAATGTAGATATATTTGGATCCGATTTGCTCGAACTTCGGTGGGTTTTTATTCACTTTTTCCAGAGACATCTTAATGTCACGAAGTGTTTTCTGTATATCTGACAGCTGAGAGTTCACTGTGGCTAGCTTACTTTCCATTCTATCAAGCCTGTCCTCAATGCTCTCTCGAAATAACCTTCTTCCAGGATTCCTTTAGGGTCTGTTTGCTGACCTTCAATTTGATTCTGAATTGCAGTCTGCTGGATCAATAATCTTTCCAATTTTGCTTGGGTTTCGTTCTGCTTAGCATTGTCGCAGGATTGATGGGAAGGATTCTGCAATAGGTACTCAGAATGAGTTATATCCTTGGCGTCTAACACAGATACTTTTAGGCCTATTGCAATAATTGCGAATGCAAGAATATGTATAAACTCTAACATGTTTAAAAGGCTTAACTTGTACCGACGAAAGTTTACAGAACACTGAATTTGTATAAATGTCCTGACTTGCGTAGAAGCTTTATTGATAAGCTGCGAAGTATTTAAAAATAAATGTAAAGTGGAACAATGTAATCAGCATGGAAACGGCCAACATGAAAACATTTTATTTTTAGTTTATGTTCTAGAAGCAGTACAACCTATATAAAATATAGGGCAGGGAAGACTCATAAAGGCTAAGATTAAACATATTTTCTCAGATTTTCCTCAGATGGTTAACAGCTTGAAGCTTTATATATTAAGATTTAGTTTTGAAAGTTAATGTTAAATTCTTTGCACATAAAATAAAATGCTTAATGTTTAGCTATGTTATTTTTTTATTTTTTTATGCTGTACATTTTCTCCTTTTTTAATTTCAAACCGTAACGCTTTTTGGCGCTGCCACCCGATGTTAATCCGCCAGATGGCGCACAGAAATGACTGCAAAACTGTGGAAAAGTGCTTGCCAAACTTGCACCTCCTTTCACTCGACTTAAGCTTTATTTTGCTTGTTTGTTTTGTTTCGTTTTTGGCGCTCGGATTACATAAAATTTGATTTGGCCAATGCGGAAAAAGGCTTTCCACGGAATTTCCTCAAGTTTTATGATAATTAGTAACGAAACACTTTAAAAGCGGATTGGATTAACATCGTTTTCCTGCAGCTACCTTAATAGCAATCAGACTGGGCCACTTTAATTGAGACGTTGCCATTGTCCAGTTGGTAAAACCAAAACAAAAATACTGAAAAATAAAGTTTAAAACCCCACCCAATCACCCATTCCCAGGCACATTTGTATGCTTTTAAATACGAACACACACTCAACAGCTCCTTCACGAGCCTGCCAAATGTAAGCGAACTTAAAAACACATCGTTTGCATTTGGACCCCACCCCACCTCCACTGCCCCATGGAAAGCCACCTCCATCAGCGACAGCCCCTCCAAGCGGCACTTAAGTGACGCTCCAGCAGCTCAACTATCACCGGGCTCACGTGTGCTTTCTTATTCCTTTTATTCCAGGTACTCTCGCAGAAAAAAGGTATATTGTATTTGTGCAATTGTATCTTTGAGATCGTAAAAGCCATAGCCATCAATTCGGATGCGAAGCTTATGCTTTAAGCCATCAAAATTTCAATTATTTTCAATTTTAAAAATTCTTAAATGTTATCCTATACTGATATCATTAATATTGCTATCCTATAATGATAATATTTTGCTTATCTAAGTTCTAATAAATTTTAAGTAGTAATGTCGAATTTGTATAGTTTTTAATTGACTTTTAAGCTAATTTTAATCTTATTATATTAAGTAAGAAACGATGTTTAATGTCTCTTTTAACTCAACATATATAAATAAGTTTATTTTTTAGAATTATTATAGAAAGGTTAAGATTTTTCATAGGAAAAACTTAAAAGTTTACATCAGCGAATTTCCAGCTTTTTGGTTAGTGCACTTTCTTAGTGCACTTTTCAAGGCATTGTGAAGACGAGGTATTGCTTTTTGATGTCTGCAATATAAACATGATTTGCAATGTGCCTTTTGTTTTTAGCCTCGTTGATTTTGTTTACCTGAGCCTCAAAGCGCCGACATCGTCTTGGGCCCAAGAAAGAAGAGATTTTCCGGAAGAGAAGTTTAAGAGTGAAAGTCCAACCGACCACCCTTGCTTGAGGTCAGGATTTGGGGCATTGCCATCGATGGTTGGCTTGCTCTTTTCTAACTCGCACGCCTGCGCCAAAGAGAGGCGGAAAACTCTTGGGAAATTCAAGCCCAAGCCGAAGCCGAAGACCAAAACTGGAAAACGGACTTTAGTTGCCATTGTAATGCCAACGCAGTCGGCACGCGTTTGGCTCTCTCGCCTCGCGGCTTTTTTATTTATTATTCGCTGTAGTGAAAGAAAGCCAACAAGAAAAACAACAAGAGTCGCTGAGAGTCGCGTTGGTTTCGGGGAAAATCCCAGTGTGTTGGCTAAAGTATAAATCATGTGCGAGGAAATCAAGGCAATTCGGAAAGTCGAAGGAGTTGAGCCAAAGATGAAATCAACAGCGAGAAATTGCCAGTCATAAAAAAAGGGTTTGTGTTTGTTCCTGTTTCGTGTTAGTGTTTGTGTGTGTGTGTGTGTGCTTGTGTGTGTTTGCGTGAGAGTGTGTTGTGCCAAAAGGGAAATCCCTTAACCCCCACACACAGGACCCTTAACCCCTGGCTACAGGCTACAGCTAGACTCCCCTATTGTGCGTTGTGTACAATTAGAAGGCATTGCCAATCGATTTGTGTGAAAAGCCAAAGCTAAAACTCAAAAGGTGGACGGACGACGCCAATCCTCAATAAAAAGGGAACCCGGGCAGGCAAAAAAAAAGAAGAAAATAAAGGAAATACCCATGTAAAAGAATGGAAAAGCTGGCCAAAGAAGTTCCCTTTTGGCTGGCAGGTGCGCGTAGTCTGAAAAATGAAGTTGAACCGACCCGAAGTTGTTGCCTGTCATTCAAAGGGAATGGCAATATAGAGGAGGAGTGGGCATCCAGCTATTGGGAGAAATGGGGCTGGGAGAAACAGAGGACAATATTAATGAAAGACGTTGCAAAAATGTCACGTTTTCCCCAGTCAAATTGAAATAATAATGAAGGCATTGAAGAAATGTCACGGCGCGCGACTGACAAGCAAAATGAAGAGCAGACCTTCGGAATTTGCATGAATATCTCAAAAATAAAGTTGTTAATTTCAGTGATATTAAAACCTAACAAGCTTGATAAGAGACAAGTCCCATAGGCCACATCATTCCGAGGGAGAAATTCACATCTAACAATTTCCAAATAAAGTTTGTGTGACGCGACTAAGAAAACCCATCCCCAAAGAACACTTTGTAGGCGCTAAACCAAAACCCAAGAGAAAAGAAATTATTCATTTTTACCAACAAATTAATAAATAAATAATTTTACTTTGAAGTGCAACTAAAAATTAATAAATTTTAAAACTAGAAAGGCAATAATGGATTTTAAAACCCCCCAAAACTCTTTATAACTCCAACAGACAGCAGAAAATTGTTAAAAGTTGAGGCTTAAAACTTTTAATAGCCAAAAGCAACTTAAAATTATGTACATAAACTTTTCAAATAGAATTAAACTGATGTGAAATACGATGTTCCTCCCAAAAGAACACTCCAAAGACAACGGAGCGCATAATTTGCCACCATAAAAACCCCCAGGAAAATTCAACATAAATTTGATTTTATGCACAAGATGCTACAAGTGAATAAAACACGAGCTTAGTGACAGTGACAGTGGAAAAAGCGTGAGCGTGATAGTGATGATAGTACAGTGAAGCATATGCCCAATAAACAGATGGCCCATAACCATAAACCGAAAGTGTTATGGCCATTACTAAAGGACCCTTCTCGGCGGCATCACCAAATAACTTATGCCCATCGGCCCGAACCGAAATCGCAATTTATGACAGGCCCAGCAACTATTTAAAGAACCATAAAGCCCCTCCCCAAAAAAAACAAACAAAGTTTATGGGGAGTGACGATTGCATTTTGAGATCCCTGACATAAAACAAAAGCCAGGATTTGGACGCCCTTATTAACTCCCAATTTTATTCGTTTCCCTAAAGGAAACGCCAGTGCTTCCAGCAATAAACTTCCACCCAACTGTGGCAATACCAATAGACAAGGAACCATGTCGAATATATCCCGGAATGGTGGCTTCTGCGGTGCACTGCAGCGTGCGCCACCGCCAATGCCGCCGACCCTCATCCGTCGTTTGACCAGCCGGGAGTGTTATGGCGTGGGCAAGGTGAAGGTCATGCTGCGGGTGGCGGAGCGGGATAGAAACTCCGGCGGAACAGAACCGGACTTTATGGCCCTGGACAAGAAGAAGCGACAGGTCACGCTCACCGATCCAAAGAACGCCTGTCCTCCGCCCCAGGCCGCCCAGGAACGAGCTCCCATGGTGGCCGCACCCAAAATGTTTGCATTCGATAACCTCTTCACCGCGGAGGATAAACAGGTGAGTTTTCCAAATTGAAAAATTGGTTTCAATGGATTTCCTCAACTGGTGAAAAAGCCCTTTCAACATTTCAATTTCTTAGGATATTTATGTTCCATTAGCTTAGTATGCTCTTTGAGTTTTCTTTAGTTTAAAATTTACCTAAAAAAGTGATTGAGAACCTTCGATTTTGGCACAAACGTTGTTTATTTACATTTAATGTTATTGCAAAAACAAAATCAAAATAAACAATAACAGAAAAGCTTAGCAAGGGCAACCGTAACCAAGTAAAATAAATATTTGACTGGTTGCTGTTGACATAAAGTATAATATTAATTTTGTAAATAAACAAAATCAAAGAGTATTCCTCCTCGATTCATTAACTAGACTTTCAGCTGGCCTAACAGTAAACATAATATTGACACTTAAAAACCATTCATTATGTGCAGAGCTATCTGAAAAGTTATATATTTCCAGGGAACTGCAAAACTTCAAGCAAACTACAAAAGTTTAAACTGTTCTAGTTTACTTTCCCTTTAAAATCAACAAAAGTTTCCAGACCTCTCGCGGTGCTATTTGCCCTTAGCAAATGAATAAATTTCACAAATGCTAATATTGACCAGAAATTACAAAACTTTAATTGAGCGTGGGAGTCAACAGAAGGAGAACAAATTACACATTTTGTCTCAAAGTTATGCCATTTAACTTGTTATTAGATTACAAAAGAGGTGTTGGTAATTCCAGAGAATAACAAGTCACCACAAAAATACTGTAATCAATCTTCATAATTCATGGCAAGCAGAGTTCCTTTCATAGATTTATGACCCTTGAAGTGCAATCACTCATAAGGCAATCCCTCCTCAGTTCTGAACGAAAGAAATACATACCGCCCCCCGATGGAATTAACACATACGTGTATTGTCCTCCCCCATTGGATCTAATCAGCAATCGAATTAACCCCGCAATCGAACCCAATTCCAACCATTAAAGGAGCCCATTAGTATGCCTTATTAGCCGCCACCCACTGACCTCCACTCCACACCTATTCATTTTATTTTTCACTGTGAAAAATACTCTGAAAAGTACGAAGGTTCTTGTTTATTTTACAAAAAATACTTCAAATACTATTAAGTTTCATTATAATATTTTACAAATTTAGAACTTATACATGAACTTAAGAACTGCTTTTAATATTAAGCAATCCAAATTAAGAGATCTTTCTTAAAGAGATCCCATAAGTAAAAATTAACTAATAAACTTATTAACTACAAATAAGTTTGTAGCGCTGCCCTAGTATATGCAGCCGTTGTTACCGGCTGACTTAACAGAGATTTAACATCCGTGCTTAAAACTATCGATTCGTAAATTCGGCGTTGCCAGATGCCGCGATACATATTAGGCACATATAAATGCTGTATAAACATTAACAAAGGCTAATCACAAGTCAACTTTTTTGTTCCAAAACTATTTTTTAACTTATAAAAACTATTATAAAGTTATCAATAAGCCAAAGATTTAATATTTTAATATTAGAGAAAATTTCAACAATTAACATTAATATTTTCTCTCCGTGTACCATATATTTCAGTCGGATGTGTGTGCATCGGCGTTGAGCGAAGTGATACCCGCCGTGTTAGAAGGCTCCGATGGCTGCCTGCTGGCCATGGGATATCCCGCCACCGGACAGCACCAAACAGTGCTTGGGGATGTGGGCAGTGGGAGTGGCAGTGGTGGGGTGTGTTCCCTGGGAGCTGCCCCCTGTGCCATTGCTTGGCTCTACAAGGGCATCCAGGAGCGGCGGCAGAAGAGCGGGGCGCGCTTCTCGGTGAGGGTCAGTGCCGTGGGCGTTAGTGCCACCAAGCCGGATGCCCTCTCGCAGGATTTGCTCATCTCGCATGCAGCCGGTAAGCATATGGCGGGGAAAAGCGGGTGCTTCTAGAAGCGATTTCTTTCAACCATTCAATGTTTTCAGGTCAAAGAGTTAATGTCCAACTTGTTGTTATAAGTTTTTGAAGGAATCATGTTTCTTTTGTAATAAAAAACTTTTGTCAATTTCATAAAAAATATTACAAACTTAGCCCAAACATAGTTAAACTTACCTAATGGAAACTATAAGTTAACTTATTTAACAAGAAAACCATAAAGTATTCGGCTGTTTGAACTTGTAGTTCCCCTTCCTTGTTCCTGTTTAACTTAGTTTGTTGGCTTCTATTTCGGGTAGTTAGTGCTGGCAACTGCGATGGTCCACCTGTTAGCTGCCAGCGGCCAGAATCGCCGGCAGGATAAATGGCTCCGTTGTGGGCGGGTGCAGAGGGCGTGGCATAATGTTGCCCCTGGGCCAAACAATGATGATGATGACTGGGGCGTTCGGCGGGTCGGGGTCGTAACTGGCCCAATTTGAATAAACTTAACCTGGGCAGCAGTTCCGACACCTACCCCATCCCCTTATCATCATCAACGCCCCCCACTCTTACTCTCTCTCTCTTTATGCAGACTTCCCCGTAGAATACGGCGTTTATTCCCACATAAAACCTAATGCCCTTTTCATTCACTCCCCGCTTTCTTCTCTCTTTTTTTTTTTGTCGGTCTCAATACTGGAACACTCCGGCTCCAACAACTACGGCTACACAGAATCTGACGACTCCCCGGGGATTTATTTGCGTGACGACTTCCTTGGCGGTCCAACGGAACTACGTGCACCCACCGCCGAGCGTGCGGCCCTGTTTCTCGATTCAGCGCTCGCCGGACGCTTAAAAAGTTCCGGATCCACGGGATCTGGGAGTTCGGGGAGTTCTGGATGTGCCGCCCCCTTGGAGTCCGCCCTCATCTTTACGCTGCACGTCTACCAGTACAGCCTGTCCCGCAAGGGAGGTGGTAAGTGTCCGACACATTGTTGTATTCATGCCCTGCCAAAAGGGGCGTGTTCATAACAGTTAACTAACTCCACAACAGTTAACTACTTTGGTTCAAAATGTATGAATAAGGTCTGATCTGCCTGGGATTAACTATCTTTAGAATAACTTAAAGCAAACATTTTAAATGTTTACAAATTACTTTAGGCTACCAACTTTGATAAAATTTTGATTTCTATATTGGCATTATTTTTTTTTTTTTTTATTATTTTAAACTTAGTTCTAGTGTATTAGAATCTTCGGCATACAAAATGTTTCCCCTTCCTCTTGTTATTGCTATTGTTGCTGCCACTTTTGTTGCTGCTGCCACTCAAGTGGCCCGCTAAATGCTTCACTACCACTAGACGGCAGCGCCATTAAAGTGTCGCATTTCCTCCACTCCAACACCCAACGCCCAACGTCACCCCCATTTAAACCCACTCCCACCCACTTCCCTTTTACACAAGCACAGAGAAAAATGGAACAAAACATCAGATGTAATCAGATTTTTAGCAAGCTTTTAAAAACGTTTTTAGGTTTTGCATAATTTGAATAAATAATATATAAATAATAAAACATAATTTATAAAAAAAAAACATTTTTTAAGGGTGTTAATTATGTAATAATTTAAGCCCACCTTAATCCCACTTATTTTCCCCGCTTTCTTTCTTTCTGTGCAGTTGCTGGCGGTCGGAGCCGCTTACATATCATCGACCTGGGCGGGTGTGCGAATCGCAGCGGGGGTCTGCCGCTGTCGGGGATCGGGAACATACTGCTGGCGATACTATCCGGCCAGAGGCATCCCCGCACAAAGGACCACCCGCTAACGCCGCTGCTCAAGGACTGCCTGGCCCCCATCACCTGCCATGTGGCAATCGTGGCTCATGTGCGGCCAGAGCAAAGCTACCAGGATGCCCTCTCAACGATTCAAATAGCATCCAGGATTCATCGCCTGCGTCGCAGGAAACATCGTGTTCCCATGCCGTTGGCGGTGGGTTTGGCACAAGGACTCGGCGGCAATGGCTCTTCGGCGGGATCGGGGGCGGATCCATCAAGTTCGGAAATCTCAGCCGACACAGTCATCTATATGGGACCCAATGATGATGCTACGGATGGAGAACATCCGCCCGTCTATCTGCCATCTCTGACTGCGGGGGATAATCGCGGGGTGATGAGCAAGGCCCTGAAAGGTAGCGGTCTGGAGAAACCCCCCTCGAAGTCAGCCAACAACAGTCCCATGATGATGAAAAAGGCCATAGCAGCAGAGAAAGGTACTAAGATAGAAGTTTTAACTAACTTTTAATGGCTATCTTTCAAAAACTAAAGTTAAAAATATTTAAAGATTTTTATTTAAACTCTAATTTTATTATTTTTAAAAATTTTCCTTCTCAAATCTTAGCCAAAAAGCTGCCGGTAAGCAACACAGGCAGTCTGAAACGCCAGGCGGGAGCCGGGGCCTGCTCCTCTCCACTGATTCCCCATGAACAACCAGCACAGGTGCAGGCAATGGGTTCACCAATACCGATACCAAGGCACATGGTGTCCAAGGGATCGATGGTTCCCTCGCCCAAGGGATCGCCCATGCGAAGAGCTCATCCGGGAGCAGCTCTAGAACAATTAGAAGCCGGAATGAGGAAGATAACTGAGGAGCAGTGGATCGATGGACCACGAGTTTCCAGGGCCAAGGTGGCAGAAGCCCGTCATCTAATGAGGGAGGTTAATCATGTCAAACAGTGCGAGACCTGGGTGGATGGGCCAAAGTCCCAGTCCTGTAAATCCCTGACAGCCGGCAATCTTCCAACAGCCGGCGCAAGTCAGACGCAGGGTTATGGCTTCATGGATGCCCACAAAAAGACCATGATTCGTCAGTGGGTGGAGAATCAGACAACACAAGTCTTCCAAAGTACAGTGTCAGCCAGCAATTCTCCCACTGCTTTGCATTGGAAACTCTCGCAATTGAAACAGAAATCTCTGGATCTGCCGGACAGACCTGCGTTTAATCCGGAACCCTCCTTGGATCTCAATCAGCCATGCTTTGAGAGTTTACCTCTCTTGGATCCGGCTCCACCCGATGGCGACGAGGACGAGGATAGTGGTCCTTCGGAGGTTCCGCCTGCCCTTCCATTACTAGATGATCCTTTGGGTTCCAGGGATATATCACAGGATAACCTGCACAGAATGCTGTCCCGACATGTGTCCAGGGAACAGCTCCATGAAGCCGAACTGGTGGCCAGTAGAGCTTCATCTTCGCATCATCCGTCGCAACGGAGCATCGATTGTGGCCTGCAAGTGACAGAGGAAGAGATAGCCAGAACGATGTCCAGAGATAGGGACCAGGATCATCACAGTGCACATCCTCTGTCGGCCTTGAGTCACTGTGACAACATATCCTTCGTGTCCAGCTTTAACATGGCCTGTGAGTCCTTTAGCGAGTGCGGCGAAAGAGCAAGGTGCGTTGAATCTTAAGTTTTTTTTTTTTTTGCAAAATGTTAAGTTTGTTAATTTTTAATTAATGAATTGTAAACTTTATAACTAAGTTTAATTTTATATTTTTTCTTTTTGCTTGAAATTTTTCCCTTTGGCAGACATCAATTCGACCAGCTGGCCCGTCTGCATGAGATCTTTACCTCCCAACTGGCCATGGCCGAAGTCACGCCCTCCGCCGCCCTCTTTCGAACGGATATCGGAAGTGTCTTCAGTGAGCCCGTCTACCATTTCAATGTAGGCCAAAGTAGCGTCTGCAGTGAACCAGCCTACAGACTAACACCCAGTCCCCCGAAGCAGCCATCCCATAGTCCTAGTCAAGGATCGCTGCCCAGTTTGAATGGCATCATGGAAATAGCCGGAATGGATGACTATTCTTTACTTCGCCAGCCAGATGGAGCTTCTGATCCCAATCTGCAAAAGGGTGAGAAACGATTTACCCCTCAGCACGATGATATTTGCGAGCTGGATGAGAAATCCATGGCGGCGGCGGTGGGTAAGAGAAATTCTCTGGAGGATACGCAGCACAAGTTAAATGAGATCACGAATATATTGCCACTGGCTGCCCAGTCACGGCTACCATTGCTGCCCCTGAATACCAGTTCCGAGGCCTACGACAGTGGTCATGACTCCAACTCTACCCCGAGAACCTCCAAGCATTCGGGGATATCGCGAAGGGCAGAAAGTGGTTATCATAGTGTGGCCACTGTACGGGATTCAGATGAGAGTAGCTTCGCATCCGGTATGTCCAAGGGCCAGAGACATCGCATCACCATTTCGGGATCAGGAGCAGTCACGTCGACGGGCATTGGAAATTACCAAAGACAGTGCCACAAGAAGCGACATCATCGACAGGATCAAGGGGGCACTAACAAAGGACTCTGCAATTGGCTCTTGACGCCCTTTTCCTGCACTTATCCAGAGACTGAGGGTGAGATCAGCGATTTCTAAACAGCAAACAAGACACCGCATCCAAGTCCAAAAACACCCACCAAAACGTAAAAAACCGAGCTAGTCCAGCATTCGAAATGGCCAAAGAAAAAAACAAGAAACAAGCTAACGTAAACCAAAAAGGATAAATATCATACAGTTTTAGGAACAAAGACGACTAGGATGAGGTGTTAGAAGGATAGAGGATCTTTGATAGCGACTGATTAACTTTTACTAGGCACAACGGCTGCCACTAGAGAAAACCAAAAACCAAACAGGAAAAAAAAAACAAATCATGCAATTTTAAAGTAATCTAATAACTAACCCAATTACCTAAATAATAAACTCATAATAAAGTCAGTGGGTTGAGAAGCTGTAAGGCAGTTCAAGTTATTTTGAATTTATTTATGAAGCATTTTGCTAAAAATCAAAAGTCTTTTTACAAAGTATACATATCTTTAAGGCAGGGGTGCTCAAATTCCTCCTCTTACGGTAAAGCATTTACTAACACAAAAACAAGAAAGCGTGCACATATTTAGTGGGGCTTTTGTGTTAATTTGTAGCTGTGCACTGAGAGAAATAAAAACACTTCTTCTTACTAACTAATTCATCACTCATTTTACTGACTAGCCAAATGCGAAAGAAACTTCAAAGTGCAAACAGAAGTTATAAGTAATGAATTCCAGTGCAAGTGTCTGAGGATGATCGAGGAAGAAACAAGAACAAAGTATATTACAGTTAGCGACGGAATGAGGCGAAAAGAGGAAAACGAAAAATTGTTAGGGGAATAGCAAGGAGTTCGGACGATGATCGAGGAAAAAACAAAAACAAATTGTATTCCGCAGAATAGTGCGGAAAGAGAAAAAGGAAAAATTGTTTTTGGAACTGTAAACTCCTAAAGCGCTCAAAGCTTACCGAGCTAGCCCATATGTACGACGCATTTACAAAAACAAACAAGGACTCAGAGCATAGGCGTTGAGTATCCCTGCTTAAGGCCACCTCAAATTATAAAGCTTAACAACGAAGCAGTTTTCTGAGACCATATCTTTGAAATATCATAAAATATACCAAATACTTTTTACCACTTTTAGAGTCAGGAACTTCAGCTGCCTTACAATCACTTGACCCACTGTATACGCTATAAATCAATCGAATCAATCACTCAATCGACTCACTCACTCACTAAATACACGCATAAGTTCAAACGGGGCTTTAAATATCTTAAGTTGCCAGCTAGCATAATGAAGGATAATCGGGAAAGGCAGTTAAAATTAAGAAAAAAGAAGAGAGATTCCTGGTTATCCGTATTGTATCTATAAATATTGAACATAATTATATTAATTAACATAATCAGGCTACAATCACTATGACTTTACAAGGCAGAGATACATCTATATACATACACTATATATACACCACGCGAACATATTTATATACAGACATTCAATATACATGCATATATATATATATAGATATCATATAGCTATTTATTGTTTAGTTTGGGTTATCTGTTCGGGCAGTCGATTTAAGATCAAGTATGCTAAATGTTGAATGTTTGCTTATTCAAACGATTTATTGCCAATTATAAGTTACAAAATGTTTAAATTAATTGTTAGTTAGCTAAAGTTATACACATCTACTACTACTAATCATGGACAAGAGCGACAAGAACTATAACGACTATAAAGCGAAACGGTTTTTGCACAGTAGACAAATGTTAAACATACAATTTTGTTGCCATTTTTGCCTAAATAAACTATGTTACAAAACGAAAAAAACGAAAAACGAACAAAATGAAACAAAAAACCCAAAAACGGAAGCATATGAAAATTCAACAAAAAATATTAAATAAATTATATATTTATCAGAGATACATATACTATAAGGAGAGCGAATCGATGGATGATTTTATGGAAACCTATTGCATATTCATAACATAAATAAAACATAACAAAAACATATTATACAAAAGCATAATAATAATAATGAATGAATGATGCAAAGCTAAAATGAAAGACGCCCGGAGGTATGCAACAGTTTGTGCACCGCCCAAGGGGGTTAGCTAATAACTTTTGTGCCGCATTTTGTTCGTTTCGATTCGATCAACAAACTATAATTATAATTATCAACATTCCTTCATTGCCTTTTTAGTCAGCGTCATCAGCACATACATACGTGTATTAACAAAAGCGAAATGTCTAAGCCATACAAACACACACACTAATTATATTGCATTATCCATACATATTTCGTACAATTATTATTCCACTTATCAAGCGTAGTTAATCAACCACACAACACCCGCTCTCGTATGCTTTAAATTTTAAACATAATCACCAAAAATCGCCCCTCCTCACACACACCAAACTTCTTTCAACCCAAATTGCAAAAATGCAAAAATGTGCAACCTGCAAAATCCAACCTACGTACATTATATACGGATACATTCAAACATACATCTATGATGGAGTCGTCGACTTCGGCGCTGAATACAGACTAATTATTTTTTATAATATAAACAAATTGACAGCTGGTTTTATTGCTAACTGGGTGGTGTTACTGGCTGGGTGAATGCGGCAAAGGGGGATGCTCCATGGAGTCGGAGTGGGAGTCAGAGTCAGAGTCCTATATACACGTATGGTCCGTACTGTTTCTGGCTTTTGGCTGGAACGTTGTTGGGCAAATAAAGTTGACGTTTTATAGATAGAGACATGTGCGATACACCCATCCAATGTGTGTCGTAGATCTAAACGTGCCACAACCCCCGCACCACCCCCACCACATCAACCCAAAAACAGATGATGGAAACGTGCGGGGGCCGGTGAATTGTCGAACAATAAAACACGAAAAGGAGAGCAGGACTTTGCTGAACTGAACTTTGTATACCCTGCTAAAGGCTAAACAAAGATACTATTTGACGGTGTAAGTATGTGGAAAAGTCAAGAAAATGTGTTTGCATTCCCCTCAATAAATACTGCAATCTTTTGTAGTTTGATTGAAGCACTCTTGAGGGGGATAAATACAAATAAATTTCACTTCAGCTCGTCTAGAAATTTTCTATTTTTCTATTAAGTGAAAGGTTTTGCAAAGCTGTGCCTTTTCTTGGGCAACTTCAACAATGTTTGCATATCAAATAGGGAAATATTCTAAGCAAAGACAAACAAGTTTAATATATAGAGCCAAGCTGAAAACTTAATATTTTTTAATATTTAAAATTAATAAAATATTTAGTTTTAAAAATAACTTAAGGTAAGGCTTTGGAAATACTTAATTCTGAAAATAAGAAACTAAAACAAAAGCCATTTAACCATAAAATCTATGCCAAGGCAAGCGTTAGGAATACAATTTTTGCAGTAATAAAATAATTTAAAATTGTTTATAAATACACAGAAAAACTTCATAATCGAGTTGAAAAATATTGTTTCCAAAACTTTGAAAGTACCCTCATCTTCTAAGGGTACAACAATAAAATGTGTTGGCACCTTCTGGCAAATGCCGCGCGTTCTACAATGCGAAAAACTCGTATAAGTAAAGTTCTGCCCCATCTACCATTTACATCCTTCAGTTTTCCCATCACCCCCGCCCCCATTGAGTCGCATTTTCCCCCCCTCCAAGGAGCCGGCAGCGATTTTTCTTGTTTGCTGCCTGCGTCTTCGTCTTTTGTCTGCCGCCCTTTTCATGTCGCGCTCCTCGCAAACGTCGCCATTTTTTCCAGGAGCAACTCCATCACTTCCCCCTCTCCGTCCCGTTCCGTTCCGCTTCGGCTCTGCGCTTTTTGTACTTTTACAACCCTCTTATCGGGAAAACTTTAAATTTTCGCATTCGCAATTCGCAGTCACAAATGCAAATGATGCCCCGCCCACAAACTACACTAGAAAAAAAGGTATCGAAAGCCTCTTTGAAGCCATGAAACCCCAACCCAAAAAGTTTTCATTTAAATATTTTAAGACATTAAACATTGGTATGATAGTTTGAAAGAAAAGAAAACTTATTAGGGAAAGTTTCTTTATAATTTTAAATACAAATTTATGAGAAAGAAAAGAAAATGGTTAAATTTGGTATAATTAAGCTACTATATGTACAGTGAAGTCTTATAAAAGTCTTCTAAGCTCAAAAAAATGTCTCCTTTAACTAAAGACATCTATTTTTCTATATTTAAATATGATTTCCAATTTAATTTATTCAATCGATAGTTACTTTTTTAAGGTCTCAAGTTAAATAGTTTTCTTAAGAAGTAAGTCTTTAGTTTTTCTTTTGGTGTGTAAACATTGTGAAAGGAAAATCATGGGACTGGGTAACTGCGGGATCCTTCGGCCTGCTCTCAGGGAGTCTGTTCACCATATGTTGCCAATTGAGGCGAAAATCGAAAACTCGTCTATGCTGGAATTGTTTATGACCCCAGCGGATTGAGCACATTGAGGGACTGACTTTCTTTTTGCTATCGCTCTAGCTCCTCCCCCATATAACATATCCCTGGCCCTTCCTGCCATCTAACCCACTATTTCATCACCTTTTTTTTTTTCCTGGTTTTTGCTTCAACTTTTGCCCATATTTTCCCCGAGTTTTTCTGCTGTCGCCTTTTAATTATGGCTCGCAAATTATTTTCGAATTTTTCCATCATACTGCGGAAATAAATGTTGACTGCAATTTCCCACCGTCCACCGTTCGCCGCTTCCCCTCTCTGCCATCCTTCAACCCAATTCCGAACAGGATGGAAAAGGATTCGAACCATTTCTTGTATTTTTCCTGTGTGTTTTTCTCTCTTTGCAGTTTTTTCCTGCTATTTTTTTTTTTAGCTCTACCTTTCGGTTTATTTATTTCGCCAGGTAGAAAGAGTTTCTACAGTCCAGGAATCGGAGTTGGAGCTCTCTGATGGAGTCCTGGTCCTGGTCCTGTTCTGGTTGCTGCTGTTGTTGTGACCTAAAAAAATATTCACACTCACTTCACTTGTCAAGTTGAATAAAGCAAAACGCTGCCCTGGAATCACGGCGAGGGGAGTTTTTGTGGGCGGACAGCGGAAGGAGTGATAGTTGGGGGAGTTGGAAAAAATTTATACAAATTCCTATATGCAAATACAGTGCATTTCAGATTCGTAATTCTCTTTGACAAAGTGCCATCTATGTTTAAACTAATTTCTAAGCAGAATATCTTTAATAAGTTATAAGCAAGGTCTCAATTTGAACTCAAACTAAAAATCTTAGTCACATGTTTATGTCATATATTTTTGTCCCGCACTGTTTCCTGGATATATGTTTGTTTATACACTCATTAAAATCCGTCCCACTTGCAATTAGAGTTTGTCATTTGACAGCAGCACGAAAATATATGAAATATATTGGTGAGAAGCGAGCAACAAATAATAAAAGTGACAGCATCGAAACCAAAGCGCTGAAAAACCGGGAAATTATTGATAAATGTCATCACCGGTTCTCCACTCCCGTTTGTTTCATAAGTGGAAAACCGGATTTTATAATTTAGAAGCTTTTTATGTTCGATTTAACACTTGTCTATGAACAAAAGAATAACCGAATGTTTTTGGGTTTAATTTTAAACGATTTTTATTTGATAAAATTGGACATAAGCCATTGAATTTTCAATTATTTGATCTACCACTGGAAAATAATCGAAATTTTTGTTAGTCTTTAGTTTTATTAACAACCCTTTTTAACATTTTCTTAAGGTTTTCTTTTAAAAATTCATCCAATTCCCCTTAAAGAGCTTTCTAATGGGCAAAGCGCTAAAAAATACAAACTTAGAATAGCTCATACTCTGATTACTTAATAAAAACATTGTCTTTAAGCAAACCTTTTTAAATTACCCACCCTTTTTATTCATTATTGCCAATCATTGTTAATACCTGCTCAGCCTGGAAAACTCTCCATTCAGCTTCAGTCAACGTTTTCAGCCGAAGGAAAGTACCCGCCACAAGTACTTATCGACAGATACCGTATCTAAAGAGTACGATTGCCTTGTTATCCGGCCAAAATCAATTGATAAGCCCCCTGCTGAAAGACAGCAACCGTTGGCGAAAGCATTTGAACGATTTCGAGCCTTGAATCAGCGACTGCTTTGAGGGACTGACTGGGAGGCACTTATTGCGCATTGGTAATCGCCGATATATCATTATAATGTGTGGGTGACACACCAGGGAAGCCATAGAAGTCAACTCCCTTAATACACTCGAAGAAGTGGTCGTACTATTTGATATTTTGATATGTAATTTTAACATTTTGGGCTTTATAATTGGATACAACTCAAGTTTACACTGGAATATATCTAGAATATGATCTAAATGCAAAACTTCCTCCTAATTATGCATAAGAAAGGGTTACATTCTCAGTGTAGAAAGCACAAGGTGCTTGAGCAATTACAAAAACATGAGCAAACATGAACACAGCAATTGAAAAGTGGCTGAAATGAAATTTAATACGGGTCAAAAGTCGATTCATGGAAAATTAAACGGGACAAGGAAACCCTTGAAGCGAACAGAGCGGTTAGGGGTTAAACCAAGGATAAGATCAGGAGTTGGAGGACTCCACCGTCTTCCCGAGCAGGTGTAAAAACAGAGCTGTGCCGCACACCTGCAAATCTTCTCCGGCATCCTCCTTGATACTGTCCACCAAAACCACTCCATACTTGACAACAATCATGACCAGCATCATTCTTAGATAGAGGAAGTTCCGCTCCATATATGCCAGGAAACCGAGGGATACAATATTGCCCAGAACCGTAAGATTCCGCAAGCTGTCGCTGAACGCACAATCCCGCCGATCTTTCGCTAAGGAGCAGCCCAAATCGCAAACCAAAGGAAGTACGAAGACGGCATGACCCAAGGCAATAGGACTTAGTCCGGTGGTCTGCATGTAAAGATCCATATTGACCAGGGGCAAGGGTACCAGTTCCAGGACACCGTGCGTAATATCCCTCAACTTCCGGCACTCCTCCGGCTGCCCGCTAGCAAAGATCACCCTCAACAGTCCGAAAACCGCAGAGAATCCAACCACCACACAAGCGACAAGTGCAAAGGGGTGCTCCTCCGGCTGCATTTTACGGCCGGAAAATACCGCCGTACTCAGCAGCAGCCCGTTGTAAACGAAACGCAACCAGGGACCCGAGAGCGGTTCGCTCATCGCAACCGCAGACTGCTGGCCAACTATGAAATTTAGATACAAATTGATGATCCAGATGTTACGGAAATGAGTGTTATGAAAAGGCTTACTGACTTGGAAAGGGTATAGGGATTTCTCAAAACTGAAAAATTCAGCTTTTGTACAAGAAACTTTTGAGAAACCACTTGCGGTAAACGCAATCCAAAATAAACACCAAAACATTAGGGATGCATGTTTAAGCTATCGATTAGATGACTATCGGCAATGCCAATAGGAATAGTTTGACAGATCGACTTGTTTATAATCCGATAATTTAAGCAGAAAGTTTGTGCCGAACCGAAAAGTTTCCAAAATGGAAATGGACATGCTAAAAAAACTGCAAGACTACTGCGTCCGCCACGGAATGCCATTGCCCACCATTCAGATCTCGGAGAAGAAGGATAATCGGCCAGCCCCGGAATTCGAGGTCTGCTGCTCCGTGGCTTCGATAGTTCGCTATGCGAAGGCGACTAACAAAGAAGAAGCCGAAAAGCGAGCTGCTGTCGAAATGCTGGCCGTCATCTCTAATGACGCGGAAGAGTTGGTTCCGTATGAAAAGGAGGTGAAAGGCCAGCAAACTAAGGAATATCTTAAACTAAGAGCTGTTCTAGATATTTTTGAGGCAGAGCGCGGTTCGGTTGTTACTGGTTTGCGCCTCTGCGATCGCCATAACTACTTCAAGAACTTCCAACCTGCCCTGAAGCAAGCTGCCTTCGATGTCATCGAGTCAGAGGGCTACTCCAGCTACAAGGACAAAGCTCTGAGTCTGCTGACCGCACTGGAAATAACACCCACAACCAGAACTTTGGAGTCCAAAGCGGAGGAACCCATACTGTGCATCGAGCTGAATTGTGACTTGGATGTGGTCTTTGTGGATCTGGAAAGCCAGATTTACGAACAAATGATAGAGTATCTGAGAAATATGTTGGTCTAAAAGGATGTTTTGTAATGGAAGTATGTAAATATGTATTTTTTAAAAGGGGTTTGGTGTGTGTTAATATGTATTGGAATAGAATAATAAATATACAAAGATTTCTAAAAGAATTTGTTTAATTTTTATAACAATTACTTAGATTAATACTTTACTTAAAATAATAAATAGTATGCAACTTCTTTATATTGTCCCAAAGTTGTGGAAATCCAAAATTTAAAGTAAATAAAATAAAATGCGGGCTAAAGTATTTACTCAGGGCCCTTCAATTAGGCGTCCTTTTCATTATTCCTTCCGCTTATGTAAATGTATAATTATGTAATATGTATGTACAAATATACACTCATACATATATGCAATTTGGAGTTTTTTTGCCTAATTTGTTTACTCTTTACGGTAATAAACTTTTACGTTCTTTACAAAAAGAAGACGTGAGCCAGGGAAAATAAGCCTGAATTTAATGTTAACTAAACTCACGCATGATTATTATCCGGAAAACACACGTGGTGAAGCAATAAAACCTCAGAAATTTGAGAGAAATTTAAAAACTTCAGGAGCCTGAACCCGAATGGCAAGAAAATCATCTCGATTTTCCCAAATAAACACGCAAAATGAAGTCAAAGTACTTTTCAAGGTAATTGCTCTACAGGCGGATCCAAAATTTTAATTAATTTTCCGATTTTATAGCAAAAGCAATAGCGAAATAGGTAACATGTAGGGGTGAATTTGTGATTTTATTTATTTAATATAAAATAAAAATGCATTACTGGTGAATAATAAACAACTAAACCAAACGTTGGCAGTTGAACGCCTCTTACCAAGGGTTGGCCACCTATCCTCACTCACTGGCATCAGAGTGAGGTTGTAAAATAAACCATAAAACTTTACTAAGATAATTAAGTTAACGAAAATTCAGTTATAAAAGGAAAAATTTAAAATAGTTTGGCACTTTTAAAGGGCATGCTGTATGGCCTTTTAAAAGTTTTAAAGATATTAAACAATTTAGGGCAACTTCAATTTCTCTTTATTTTACAGTTTAATTTGTTTTTCCAATCGTTGTCTTCGAAGAATAAAAGTTATAGACTGTGTCATTACTTATAATTTATGAGCATTAATTAGCATTCTGAAGGATAAGATGGCATTTTAAAAGTAGAAAAGGAAAAGAAAACTCACCTATTTCTTAGTTTGCAGCTTAATTTATGGCTTTTAACTTCTTTCTAGGGAGAAGAAAAAGAAAATATTATCTTCTTTGTTATCATTGATGACTAACTAAGCCGTAAAATCGTAGAAATACTGAAAATGCAATGTTATGTAGCATACTTAAGGCTGCTACTTAAGGCTGTGATGGCGTTTCAAAAGTTTTTAAAGATATTAAACAAAGGAGAAAGTCACAGTAGCTTAAATTTTAAACTTGAACAGCTTGTTTTAGCACAACTCTTTCAAACAACTTCTTTAACCTATAAATGATGACCAAATAAGCCTTAAAATAGAAATAGAAATACTGAAAATTTAATATTATTTAGCATATTTAAGGCATTCTGGCAAGCGTTTTATAAGTGCTGAAGACTTTCAAGAATGTGCCGAAGAATTCGCCGTGTTACCAATATGGTATTTCAGTAATCCCCTCTTTAAAGCTTATGTCCTCCAGTCTATTGTAGTGTGTGTGTCTCTGTGTATGTTAGCCCGATGGGATAACGAAGCGAATATGCAACTTGGCAACACTTGAGCATTCCAGGCACGCACCACGCCCCCAACCACAGACCCCGCCTCCTGCAGGCATAAAGAAAAATAATAATTCAACTTTATTTGTGCCACACACACACACACACGGACTCACACTCACTAGCATACCAAGGATACTTCGACGTTGAAGCGAGAGAGCTATAGAGATGCGAAATGGCAGGATCTTCCAGCTGTTCCCTGTCAACACCAAACCCAACAACAACAACAACAGCAACAGCAACAAATACATCGAGCATCCGTGGTAAATTTAATCGAAAGCGTGTAATTGACCTCAGTAAATGGCTGGGAATGGGCGTGGAAATGGGAATGGAAATGAAAGTGGGCAGAGCTGGGGCTTTGAGGGGGGCAGGGGCTTTGTTGGATGCCATCAAATCATTATCAGTTAAATAAACGACAGCCAGCAAGTTAAAAAGATAACGAAGCTTCCGAACAGAAGCTACAGCAGCACGGCAGCAGCAACAGATGATATCTCTGCTACAGGACCAACATTCCCATACCATTTTTGGCTTTGATTCGGTTTCGGATTGGGAGTAACCCACCATCCACCCCCTTGCCGCTCCCCAATAGACAGACGTAAGCCGCCTCGTTTTATGCTAATTCAAATGGAAATGGAGCCAGTCAGCAGCTGCTCGCTGGATTGCGAAGAGGGTTGCACTGGAAAAAAAGACTAGATGGTTGAGTAAGTAAGGTTATATATATTCTTTCTCGATTTTATGTCATATAGTACATGTTCCTTAATAACATTCAACCACAATCTCTCTCAGTGTCCTTTAGGATAGGGCGAGATGAGCCGCGGATGAGGGGCACCACAAGTTGTCAACGGCGTCGCCAAAGTCGAAAGCAAAAGCAAAAGCTCGTTTCATTATGCGACGGGCGCTGGGCCAGTGGGCGTGGCTGGCGCCTTGATCGGGCACACAGATAGCCGTGCTAGCTACATATGCAGATTGTACGGGATGCGGATTCCGGTGGTCGGAACTTCTCGGAACTCGAAACAAGGAGCATGAACCATAGAGCACGGAGCACAGAGCCCAGAAGCTGTGGACACGACTCGCTGGCATTCCTTGTAAGGCAAATTCGCCATGATTTTCATATAATTTCCGCATCATAAAGCTGCGAAAGTAATTTTCCACTTGAAAGCACAGCGCAGCCAAAAAGTGTGAAGCTATAGGTTGTGACGGAGGAGGGGGGTGATGGTAAAAAAGAGAGAATGATTGAAGGGGAGGGGTCAGACATTGGTCCAGCTAAGACCTCAAGCTGTGTCTGTGCTCTATGAGTGTGTGCTTTTGTACCTTCTAGTCTACCCAAAATCCAGGGTATGATCTTTGCTGGGTATGAAAGTTAAGAAGAAACTAGAACCCTACTGCCCAGAACATGGAATCTAGTATCCGAAATTACCTAAGATGTTTACTAATAACATATGTAACATATATATATCTATCTATCTTTATATATATCAATCAAATGTCAAGATCTTCCTAAATTTAAACCAGTTTTTATTGATGAGCAAGCTCCTTAAGGCTTCGAAAAACTTTGGTAGAGCTATCTTTCCTTTGAATATCATTTTTAATAACATCATTTATCTATGTAAGAAATATTTTTATTTACAGGGTATCCCAACGTCTTCAGAGCCTTATCATCTAATGTAGTTTCCTTGTCTGTTTGTTGGGCAATGTCGATGATGGTAGCTTGTTTTTTGGCACATTGAACATTTGGTGTTGTCACCTTTCCGGCGAAGCACATGCAAATAAGCCGACAAACAGGACAAAGACGGAAAACCAAGGCCAATTCAGGCCGAGATTCCTTAGCATTAAGTCGAGAGCATCATTTTGTGGGCGGTGGGGATGTTGGAGGTGGGAAAAGTGGAAGGAAAGTATGGGTTGGGGGGTTGGGTAGCAATGACATCTCTTTAAGGCGACATCAGATTAGGCTAAGCAGCTGGGCCAACACACATACTTATACATTACATATATACATATATATATATATAGCAGGGGAAAGCGTCACACACACACAAAGACAATAGGGAGTGGCAAATTTCATTATGCGGCTCACGTGCGAGACAACCAAATTCACTGAGAAATAAAGAAAAAAAAATGTCCAAAAGAAAAGCAGAAACCGAAAAACAGAGGAAAAAACGTTGGAAAAAAGAAAAATACAAATACAACACGGAAGGTAAGGAGTTGGGGGAGGGGTAGGGGAAAAGAGGGGAGCAGAGGGAAAGTAGGAGGAATATCGGAAGGAAGCAGCAATAGAAAACGTACAAAAGCGAAACACGCAACCAAGAAGACGAGGAACCAGGCTCCAAAACCAGGAGATTTCATCTTCTTCTTCAACTTCTCCACCTCCTTCTCTTTCTCCGCCTTCTTGCCTTCCTTCCCCAGCCCCCGCATTTTGTTCTGGCAGCCAGGAAGGAAGTCAGTCAATGCCCGCAGCAAAAAGGCCAAAACACAAAAAAAAAATCAACAATAAGCGACAAAGTAGAAACAAAAACACAATGCAAGCACAGTGCAGCCTTTAAATAATTAACTAAGTAAAACAATTTGGGAAAATATTTTAAGGTTGTTAACAAGAACTTACTGGATTTTAGAACAAATTTGTGTTATGGCCAAAACTAAGTAGACTTTAAAAGTAAGAAAATATTTATTATTAACTAAAATATCAAGATTTTATAAACTTTTAAACAGAAATCACACTAAATTTTTGGGATTTAAGTTTACTGATTTTTTGTTTTCTTTTGGAAATTTTTTAAGAATTAATGATGTCATTTCAATGTAAGGCAACACTGCGAATGAGTAACAAAGAATCCGCCTAATCTCTTCAATATATAAACCTAATACATACTATCGAGTTAGCACTGTCTCTAGAGCTAGGATGAGGGAAAGTTGAAGGGAGGTGGCCGTAGAGTGACTAGCGAAATGCCCTAAAACCTACAACACACGTAGATAAATTTGAGTAATTCCTGCAGGTGAAAACGGAAGCGAAACAAAAGTAAAAGCAAAAGAGCAAACTAAGGTCTCATCTCGGCGAGGGAAAGAAAAAGTTTTCCGGCCTGGAAAAGTGGGGTGGGCGATGGGTGGCATTGGGAGGCAGTGGCAGAGGCTGGCTGTGACAACATCTGGTTGTTGTTGCTGACGACGCCACTGAGCTAATTACTAATTTAATATTCCATGCCCATTGACCCCCACAAAAACAGCTCGGTTATCTGCTTGTTGTCTAAAGTCTCACATTAATTATCTTATCTAATCGGACAGTGCAATAAG